TATTGAATGTTACGCTTGAATTATGAACAATACGACAAAAAGAGTTTAGTAGGGGAATTTTTATGAGGAGGATCCAAATGAAACAAAACTTAATCACATAATATACACATTGACATTTACAAGAAAGTTGTATAGATATTTAAAGTATTTTGTACATTTTGTGTATTATAAATGGATTTCAAAAAGTAAACATAAGTGTTTGTGTTTTAATTTGTACATTGTTTTATACAGATAGAATCTTAACTAATCCTAATAATTGTTGTAAATAAATAGGAGTTAGGGCCTACTATGTAAATTTGGGGGGGGGGGGCAAGTATATAAGTATATTCAGACACCCCCCCCCCCCAATGTGTGACGCCCATGCCACCGAGGGCCGGGCTTTGCAACCCCCCCCCCCCTTTTCTGAAAATCCTGGATCCGCCCCTGTGAAGGAATTATTACTTGAATAGCAGTTAGAAATTAGACGATAGCACGACATTAACAAATTTAGTATCTAATATATGGCCATAGTCGTTCACATTGTTGTGCACATGGAAGAACTGTGGATCAATGGAATTCGGTAAAGAGTATTTGGAAACAGCCTGTGTGGCCAAAATTTTAATCACAGCTCATTGCATGCATGTCTTCTTTAACTGGGTTGATGCAGAAAGTATTAGAACATTAAATTTAATTTTATTTCTTTTTTAAAACCCACATCTGTGTCGCTATCTTTTCACCCTTAATCCTGTCTTATCAAAGACAGAGAACTAATTGTATTTAATTCTTCCAATTCATCTTGTTTAATTTGATGAAACAAGATAATTTATAGGTCACAATTTGGCAATTTTATTGCAGCAATATCCTTTATTAGTGCATTAATCCAATTTGTAAACAGCACCAATACATGATTTTCTCTGGTGTGGAAATTGCCCCAGATTATAAACTAATTATATCCCAGTGCCTCCCCTAGTTGACATTTATCATATTTTACTTATTATTTGTCCTCAATTCTGCAAATTTTCCCCACCCTGAGGTGAATCAAGCATATTGTGTAATGTAATTTGCGGCTTTATTACATTTATAAATCAGATTTTTGAACAATAGACACAATAATGAATGATTTGATTTTGGCAAATGTGCAAGAAAATAAGATTGGGATTGAGTTTTGTTTTTTATGTTCTTTCAATGTAACTTTGTACAGATGAAAAGAAAGTCACATATTGGCCAATTGAGCAGATTCAAAAATGGAGACTGAATACTGCTGATTTCTAAATTTAGTTTAAATTATGAACATGAAAGATCACTGAACCTACAAAAATACAACAACAAAATTTGGAAAAAATATTTTACTTTTTATCAAATTCAAATATATAAATACTTCAACTACATTATTTACAATTCATATACATATATATATAATACTTAAAGTGACAATACCATTATCAGTATTCAGATAATTCTAGTAATATAATAGATACATGGGCTTATAACTCTTCTCTATCAATTTATTAATTTCTATATTTCAATCTGCCAGATATGACATTTATATGACCTGATAGAACCCCATTTTGTCAGATGTTATATGGATTGAAATTCATTGAATCCATCAGTTATACATCGAAAACAATTGCATAAGTTAAAGCCAATGGTTAAGACAACAGCAATAAAAACAACAATGGAATGCTCTTAAAACTATCAACAAGGTAAGTAAAATATTGAATGAGCAATAACGTAAAGGAATGAAAACATACAAGAATGTTGGAACATTTTCAAAGGAAAGTATATATAAACATTCCTGATAACATGAGATTAAGAAGAATATCACAAAATATATCGATATAGTTTGGAATTAATGAGGTTTTAAAAAACCCATTAGAGTTAAGACATACACAAGTATCATTAAAGTTAGTCTTAATTATATACCCATTAATAACAGGAATTACCGGTATATAAAATGTTATATCCTATATTATCACATGAGTATATTGGAAATTTTCAGTTTAGGAAAAATATAGGAAACTTTCTACTTCTGTGAATATGACATGGCTTCACTTTGTCGAATAGTAGGTTGAAAGTGAATGAATTTTAAGAGATTAATTAATTTGAACACAATAATGTGGATACAAAATCAAGAACATTTCCAAATCATTATAGCCATATTGCCTCCAAAAAACATGTATAATAAATTCTTGACTTCATGTGTTATTTCAAATCCATAACCTTCTCCTACTACAGCATGCCAGGAAGCTCCAAATTTTTTATCCATTGTTTCTTTTATCATCTTAGCTGCACTCTGGAATTAATAAGTAACAATATGATAAGATCAGATAATTCATTACAGCAACACTAAATATAATAAGTCATAGGCACTCTTCAATTGTATGGATAAAGGTGTTGACACCATTGTGTGACCAGCCTGTTTGGGGGTGGTGGGGGGGTGCATTTATCAAATCAGTAACAAGTAAAAAATACTATCTTTGATATTCTTTCTTTTTGGATTTAAATAAACGGTGATATACAGTTCAACAAAGCTGCTGACCCTCATTTGAGATAATTGGAATACTTTGCACTACAACATTATGAATGCTGAATATCAGTTTACAGAGATTTAATGAATTGACAATGTGGCATCCTCTGCAGAACATATAAAGCAACCAGTGGCACCAATGATTGTTAGGTAATATCATTTAATGGGCCTCTTTTTAATCTGATTGAATTCAAGCCAATGGTGCAGGATGGAGGGCCTGACAAGGACAGTTGTCTAGTCGTTCGGATGGGACAAACAACCGAGGTCCCGTGTACACATTGGCATGCATGTAAAAGATCCTTTGGCAGTTGGAATTCGATATAAGAGTAGGCCATAGCGCCGCTGCCCGGGCAAAATTTCCCTCATAGCACACTGTATGGCATATGCCAGTCTTCATTAGCCCAGGTTAGGAGCAGAACAGTAGGATGTTAAACCCCATTTCATTTCATTTCCAAGCCAATGGAATTACCTACGATATTTTGGTTTTGGTTACAAATTAAAAAATTACAAAATCAAACACAGCATGTTTTGTTGAACGTACAACACTTTCGTCACATGGGCTTTTAACATTTAGCCCCTATTAATTATTTAAGAGCTGTGGTTGAAATGTTGATCAACCGTTTAGAACTTTGACTGCATTGTCATAGGCCTACTGCCTTCTGGTACAGTAGAAAATGACTTGCATGTTTTGTCACACATGTGGTGCTTTTCTGTTGAATCTTGGAAAAATAAAAACTGAGTGTACTTTTTATAAATTAAGCCTTGTGATAAACAGCTGAAATAATAAATTAAGCAACAAACCTCATTATTTGATGAGAATTTTTCACAGGCTGTAACACATAATTCCATAGCTTCTGTTTTCATTTCATCGTTCATATCAGAGTGCTGCAATTTAATTTTGAAAGTAAGCTTTACAATCAATAACAATCAACTTGGTCACTAATTTTTACAGGATGTCAAGATTCACATAATTCCACATTTATTCACTCTCCAACCCATCACAGATTTTTTTTGTCCCATCCATAACAATGAACAGAGTGCCTGTGATCAGAAGGCTTTTGCAAACAAAGATAAAGAATAACTCTTGAATAATTAATTTGTTGCATATATGTCCAATCCATCACATATCTGTCACAGTGTTTGTTTATGTTGCTGCTGTGCCATAATGACAAATATACCATAGCTATTTTACCTTTATTCTATTTTATTACTAATAGGCATGTCAGTTAAACTAAATTTTAGTAATTGAGATATATATCAATGTATTGGTACCCAGGTTAGACAGTGGTCTAGAATGTCACATCAAACATACATTGTAATCCAAAAATGCTCAGTAATTATTTTTTCCAAAAGAAATTGTTTTGTTGGATATCAATTTTAAAAGGTTGAATGTATTTCAATGTATTGAAATAACCAAAGCTAAAATGTATAAAATCTTTAAGTGGCATTTAGCGATTGGAAAACACATTAATAGAACACAATTTTTATGGGAAACAATCACTGGTTTATTCTAAAAGCACGACGTTTCGACAAGTATCCTCTTATCGTTATCAATAAGAGGATACTTGTCGAAACGTCGTGCTTTTAGAATAAACCAGTGATTGTTTCCCATAAAAATTGTGTTCTATTAAAGCTAAAATGTACTCTGAAAATATTATCTTTGGTGACTTGGTCCCATCTGTCTCGATGAAATTACCCTGTACCGGTAGTTAAAATTCCCTTCAATTTAACAACAATCAGAGTTGATTAAAGTGATAATTGCATATTTTTTTTACAAAAGTCAAAACATAATTATTTCTATAATAAATAAGCTTATCTATTAATTAACAGGTTAGTAAAGTAGGTTATCCACAAATCAAATTCAAAACATTTTATATTAGTAATATATTATATAAGCTTATTATTAATTTATTATACTATAATTTATAGGCCTATACCGGTGTATACTTCTCATCTGATATTCTAGATCATTTCAAACTCAAAGACACAAAAATCACACATATGAATTGAATGATCAACTTATCAAGTGAAGTACAACTTACTTGAAACTTGAACGGGACAAGGCAGTCATTTTGTGGATGGGAAGAGTCATTTTTTGTGGATGGGAAGTGCCAATTTTTTAAAATTAAAGATTGCATGACCTGGTTTTAGCGCACACAAACCAAATCGCGACTTGAAACCTACCACATGCAGTAGTCAGACTAGTAGTAGTAGTCAGACAAATCTGCGCGCAAAAAAATTGACAATGCTGGAAAGTTGCACGTATATTTCTACGAGTATATCGCTAATACTTACTCTAATTAACGGGTATGTGTGGACTCTTTTTGATTCGGCATCTACCTTCTTCTCCTCTATTACTTCGGTCGCCATTCTTTACACTTTCCAGTGATACAAACTGTGCAAATTATTCAAAACAACCCCCTTTGTATTTGTTTCAAATGGTTGTTGGTAACCATGAAGAATTACGCATGCGCTTTAAAAACGGAAGCGGAAGTTTCGGGCAGAAACACATGTCTGCAAATTGTAAACAAAAATATTTCATGTTAAACTTGCTTTAAGTTTTTAAGAAGTTGTTAAAATGAACGACACACTTAAATGTAAAATGAGTATTTGCACAAAGGCTTTAGAGAATAGAATATTTGGGGAAAATGCTTCTGAAAGCCTTTCAGCAATAGAGAACCTAGTCAAATTGTTTGATGTAGTTGGAGATGAAGTGTCAAGTAAAACTAAAAGTGGGCCAACTACTACCACACATGATGAAGCTCAAGCTATTACGTCCGCTCTCTCCAATATTTTACAATTTAGTGTATCATCAGAACAAATCCTTGGTCAAAAGGAGTTAAATGATCTCAAGAAGTATACAAGAGAAACGTTGTTTCCCCGGTGGATCGAGGCTGTGTTGAAAAATGTCTCTGTCGAAACAAACAATAAATTGAATGCATCAGATAAACACAGATTCGATGCACTCTTATTCAGTCTGGTTAAACAGGGGCCATCACTTCAAGTATTTATGATTCTAAACACAGCCCTTATTAATTCATGGTAAGCATGTGGGTTCTTGAAAATAGACAAATATATATACTATTCAAAAAAAGTAGGGGATATTTGATTTTGGGGGCATAATACTAAAATATGCAAATGACTACGAAAAAAGTCACTATAGAACCTAACAGAAGAAACATTTCCAGTAACATGTGACGCCCAAACGCACCAATAGCTACCGCATGGAATGCATGTGATGCTTGGGATCATCATGGGGGTCCAACCCAAGATTTGCACGACTCTGACTTTGAATGTTACAGTCATTGTGGCATTGAATTCCAGGGTGGAAACATCAGTTTAATTGTTTTAGTGACCAGAAAACAAATTTTGATATGCGTCGGCTTACCCAAAATGAAAGGTTACGTGCCCTTGGCATGCTACAGATCGGCACAACACAGGCGGTTGTGGCGCGGACGATGAATGTTTCTCAGTCTGTCATAAGCAGGCTATGGTCCAGATACCGTGATACACAATCTGTACAGGACAGACCACGCTCAGGTCGACCAAGGGCGACAACTCAAGCCCAGGATCGATTTATCCGTACCTTGGCCTTGAGAAATCGTGTCATCACAGCAAATCAGATCAGCGCTCGTCTTCAAACAGACACTGGTGTGAGAGTGAGTGGCCAGACGATTCGGAATCGACTGCATAGGGTCACCTTCGCGCACGACGTCCTCGCGTGATCCCTTGTTTGAGAGATCATCACATTCAGGCAAGACGTCGTTGGTGTAGGGATCGTCAACACTGGGATAATCGACGCTGGAGCAATGTGATGTTTTCAGATGAGTCAAGGTTCACTGTTGATTTTTTGGACAGACATAGGAGGGTGTGGCGTCGTCGAAACGAGCGCTTCCAAGACGTTAACGTCATCAGACATGATCAATTTGGGGGTGGTTCTGTTATGGTGTGGGGAGGCATCACTGTTGCTGGAAGAACGGCTTTACATGTTGTTGCAGGGCGTGTTACAGGCCAGTACTACCGGGACAACATCTTGGCAGTCCATGTTGTGCCGTTCGCACGACGTCATGGCCGCCGTTTCATCTTCCAGGATGACAACGCAAGATGTCACAGGGCCAGGATCGTTACAGGTTACCTCCAACAACAGAACATCACCACATTACCTTGGCCAGCACTGAGTCCCGACCTCTCCCCCATCGAGCATGTCTGGGACATGCTTGGACAGAGGTTACGTCAACGTCAACAACGTCCTGCCAATGTCCAAGAACTTGCTGATGCGTTGCAACAGGAATGGGACAATCTGGACCAAAATGACCTTAGACGTCTCATTAGGAGTATGCCACGTCGGATCAATGCTTGTTTGGCAAACAGAGGAGGATTTACCCGTTACTGACTTGGTTGTGATGCTGTGGTAACTTTGCTGTTTGACCCTGGGTATCATTTTACCCTTATAATGGCCAGTCTGTGCCTTACTTAGTCTAAGGATCATTTGGAATAAATCGATGAATGTGAACTTCATTTCATTTTGTCATTTGTTTCTTCGTCAGTTTCATTAGGTGACTTTAATAACACTTAAAAATCAAATATCCCCTACTTTTTTTGAATAGTATATATACTGGTAAGAGACAGTCGACAGCCGTTTCATTTTACTTTATTTTACTAGATAGGGTGCCAGTTAATTTGTCCACAAGCAAAGTTGTCCACAATGAAGTCGTCCACAAGGCGTTGGTTATGTCGTCCACAAATAATGGTTAAGTCATCCACAACTATTACTTGACCCATACACAACTATTAATGGTTAATTCGTCCACAACTAATACTTGACTCGTACACAATTTAAATGTATGAAATAAATAAGTTTTACTGTTTTATTGTTGTTGATTACCGATTACGACCAAGATTAGTTCACTGCCATTTTTGTAATAAAGTATGTTCGTATTGTTTGTTAATTGGCTTTATAATTTTAGATTTTAGGTCAGTTCACCGGTGTTTTTGTAGTAAAGTGTATTGGTATTGTTATTTAATTGCCGTTATGATTTTAAATTTGAGATTAGTTGATCAATGTTTTTGTAATAAAGTATAGGCCTACTCGTATTGATTGTTAATTGGCGTTATGATTTTAATGTTTAGACAACATTTGATTGACTTGATATGAAATCTGAATATAAATTATTCGATGGATTGGATTAACGTTAGTGATAGGATTAGTTTATGATGTCTAACATAGTAGATCTTCTTTATAAAAAGGTATTTTACAATTACATTGAAAGATTAATCACTCACCAAAATACATCACAGACTCCACGTATTATCAAGTGTTTTTGGTATGTCAATGAATTCCGTGCAATTTTCGCTCCAAATTTAACTTAGTTAAACACCCGTAGTATGCAATGCCTTATATGGCATGGAACCGGATACAGTAACAAAATTCCCAAAATTGGCTGAGAAATGAGAGCGATCTATTGTTATGCATAGTCATCGGAAAATTTCATATTCGCTGTGAATTTCAAATGGAGTTGTGACTAAAGTTGTTCTTGTGTATAGAAATGATGATTATTATTAATATATAGCTAATAATGAATATAGTGACAAATGAATGGCCTCAGTCTTATTTCTATGCTTATAGAGAATAGTTCGGCATATCAGTTGGTTAAGTATTATGGGAGGTATCAAAATTACTGGTAATTGCACTAATTGTTTGGATTGTCTTCTGTTGTTTGTTATTCATGAATGCGACCGCTCTAGCTTGGCGATAGTCTACCAATTCAATTGAGAAATAAGTCTGTATTATTTTGCTATATGCATAGGCCATATTATCTTAGGTGCAGTTTGATATCAAACAAATGTCTCATATTTTTGTGTTTGAAAATAGAAGCTTACATAAATCTAGAGTAAAACATATTTCTTATTTATTTTCAGTGCTGGATTTTCACAAATGAAGTTCATATCACTAATGGAATCCTTTATCAGTGAAAAACTTCAGTCATTATTTCTGAAACAATGCCTAGTTGAAAAGAATTCCACCAATACAGCATTTGATCAGAAACAGAACTATGTAGAGTGGGAAGAACTGATATCAGCATTGTCTTCTTTTCCAGATAGGATTGCTGGAAAACTTCAAAACCATAACAGGTATAATCTTTATTAACAATAATGATAATACACATGGCCTGTTATTGTCTTTTACAAGTGGACCTTATCGATTTTTGAATAATTTTGTATGCTTTTTAATGAATTGCATACTCCTCACAGTGTTTCGTTTGATTAGACCTAATCCCACTTAACATTGCTGTAAAGAAAGCAAATTTCTGTTCCACTCAACAGCTCAAGTATCAGAAGCCAATCAAGCAATGGCCATAGATGGATTTCTCGGTCCATTGTTTCAGGAATATGAATGAGATGTGGTGTGTTTTTTTATACGCCCACATTTTCATGTTGACGTATATTGACATCGTCCCTGTCCGGACGTCCATTCATCTGTCCGTCCATCCGTCCACAATTTTTTGTGGACACTCTACAGGTCACAATTATTATCCGATTTCAACGAAGCTTTAAATATAGGTTTATCTCCCTAAGATCTTGGTTCCTTTCGATATTGGCATGCATCGGACCGTAACTTCATGGATTATGGCCCCTGATTGTACGAAAAATCGCGTTTTTATCTTGTGGACCCTATAGAGGTCACAATTTTTATGTGATTTTGTTGAAATTTGAAATGTAAGTTTATAACCCAAAGATCCTGGATCCTTTCGATATTCGCGCATGGCCCCTGACTGTACGAAAAATTGCATTTTTAGCTTGTGATCCCTCTAGAGGTCACAATTATTATCCTATTAAAGAAAACGTGTGAATATATCACCGTTACACCGTAATGATGGTTGAGTTCGAATTTCGTGAAAATTGGACAAAAACTGGCGGACAAAATGGCCGCCCCTCGTATAACTCAAATGGTGTAAATATGTGGTATATCAAGGTTGTAGACCCTCTAGAGGCCACAATTTTTTTCTGACTTTGATGCAACCTTAAATTTATGCTTATATCACAAAGGTCTTGGTTCCTTTTGATATTCGCGCATATCAGATCGTAACTTCCTGAATTATGGCCCTTGATCGTATGAAAAATTGCGTTTTAAGCATGTGGTCCCTCTACAGTTAACAATTTTTATCAAATTTAAAAAAAAAAACGTTTGGATATATCACCGTCACACCCTAATGATGGTTGAGTTCGAATTTTGTGAAAATCGGACCAAAACTGCCAGACAAAATGGCTGCCCCTCGTACGCTAATAGTGTAAAAATATGGTATATCAAAGTTGTGGACTCTCTAGAGGTCACAATTTTGATCCGATTTTGATGAAACTTGAAATGCATGTTTATAACCCAAAGATCTTGGTTCCTGTCGATATTCACATATATCTGATCATACGTTCCTGAATCATGGCCCTTGATGTTACAAAAAATCGCTTTTTGTTTAGCTTGTTCTCTATCGATCTCTTGAAAAATGTGGGTGTATCCTGCCTGGCAGCCGCTGGTTTAGATAATTTAGTGATAGGACAACATAAGTATCTGCACTATTATGTTTTACTTCGAGTAATATTTAATGTAGAGAGAATAGAGATTTCCTCATCTGTAATAAAATATACCAGTCTTTTTAAATTAAATGTATTCTTTTTTTTCTATTTTACTACAGTGACAAGTTTTTACCAATAAATTACATAGAGTTGCTAGGCAACACAATAATAATTGTTTTAGAAGAAGTACATAGTTTACTGAAAAGTGATCAAGACTGTAGTCTAGAATTTATAAGTAGACTGATAGGCAAACTTTGTCTGACTGGATATGCTGGTTAGTTTTATCTTTTTGTTTGTTTCAATTATGTGGTCTATCACACAATTTCTTTCAAGGTTGACATCATTTGAAAGGTGAGAATAGAAATGAAATGGGGTTTAACGTCCTACTGTTCTGCTCCAACTGGGCTAATGAAGATGGGCATACGCCATACAGTGTGCTATGAGGGAAATTTTGCCCGGGCAGCTGCACTATGGCCTATTCTTATATCAAATTCCAACTGCCAAGGGATCTTTACGTGCACTGCAATGTATACACGGTCCTCGTTTTTTTTTTTTTTGTCCCATCGGAACGACTAGACAGCTGTCCTTGTCAGGCCCTCCGTCCCGCACCACTGACATGGGGAAACCACGCTGGAAAATCCTGATGAACTTTCTCGGCCAACGTAGCTATCGAACATGCGACCACCAGGCTAGCGAGCCAGCATTGTTACCCACTTAGCCGCTGTTGCTCCCAATGAATAGAGCTAGTTGTATCAGATTGCAGCAGTTTAAGATTTGCTTATATTTCAGACACATAAAATCTTATGCTGCAATCTGATATAACTAGTTCTATTCTCACTTTTCAAATGATGACAGCCTCAAACTATTCTTATTCATGCTGAAACAAGTGCTTCTGTTCATTATATTCACTGAGGATTTTCAGTACAGATATATATAATCCGTCTTTAGTAATAGATTATTAATTCAGCAATAATTACACCAAAACTATGAAATAAATATTTTAGAATGGTAAAGTTTAAAATCATACGAAAAATTTAGGACAACTGTCAATATTAAAAATTCTTGAATTAGAAGACTTGTATCCTATTGCAACATATTCCTTTAGTGGCACAACAAAGCAAAACATGTGCTAATTGAATGTAAACAGTTATTATTTAATTAAGAAGAGCCAAGAATTAGTGAGACACAATTGAAATGAACCACTCGCGAGACAGTGCAGTTGAAAGGTGATTTTTTGCATGACTGTAGACTTAACATTTATTGACATAATAAAATCAACACCAAACCATGAATTCAAGGCTATAACAACTTTACAGTATAAAGCAGGCACAAGGCGTAAAAATCAAAATTCTGTTACAACGTTCAGACAGAATAGTGTCCGCTCTGATGACATCTTCAACGGTAACTAAAATATGAAATGTTTTTTTTCAGATATATTATGGAATAGTATGATAAGTAGATTATGTGTATTTGTGAAACAAAATTATATATGGTGTAGGATATGTGAACGAATTGTAACCAGAGTACCAGATAAATGTATAGAATGTGTTATTGTACCACTATTACAGAAAATACCATGGTAACATTAAAATTTATCTTAATAAAATGTTACTGTCAATTTCTTGCATGTGGGCCTAATATATAATGGCTAATTATTTCTAGAATGTTTAAACTACCAGTTATTAAAAAATTAACACTCTTGTTTTTCACAGGGAGTGGACCTTAAACCCCATCTCTCTCTCTCTCTCTCTCTCTCTCTCTCTCTCTCTCTCTCTCAGACTCTTGTGAATGCAATTCTGTAAACAAAACATTCAATCCTAAGTGTATACATTAAAGTACATTAGCAATACATACCTAATGATTTACGATAATATAAATTCAAATACTGTAGACATTGTTCATTGTTGAATTCTGGCTACTGGAATTTTGGTCCCAAATTTGACTGCGGACCCACCTTCAACATAGTGAAGATAGGTCATTAAGTGTTATAGAACAGTGCCTTCATCTTACAGTCCTGCCTTTGATAGACCTATATTCAATATGAGTTATTTCATTTGTATGTTTATTGTAGAAATTCATACTTTATCGGTCAGTTCTTTCTGAAATAGAAAAACCTTAGAATTTATACAAGATTAGATTTTGATCTTCAGATGTAGTTGAATTAGTTGGGTATAATAATGATATATCTTATATCTTAGGTATGGATTGGTGGATAAATTTTTAGGTGATAGTATTTTAACCAACAGAAAGATACATTATTTATTATGTACGAAACTTCTTTTTCATAGATATTTTGATGAAGTAAGTACATATCTATTTATATATGTATTTAGACTTGTGTATTTATAGGGCAATAGTTGTCACTCACAGCTGTACGTTAGATCATAATGTGTTTCTTTTTTTAAATATTGATTCAAAAAATATAACATACAGGTACATCATACAGTATATTACATTATAGGGTTTATCATTGCATCATCTGTACATTTAATTATGTCATACAATTTCAAATCATTTATTTTACATTCATTTATTATTGCCAGTAGATGTTTATCTTTAGCATTGTGTGCAGGGGATACTTACTTCTATTGTTCTAAAAGTGTCCTGTTTTATTGTTATATGTAATTATATTTCACTTGGATTTCCCTTAAGATGTGTTATCTCCCCTTAAGGAGGTCAGAGTCTTGACATTATTAGCAACTTGTTGGGTACATCTTAAGGAAAAATTTTAAGCCGTTGAGCAGTAGATTAAAGTACTGACCCTTTCCACGAAGTGAAAGGATTAATGTGGTTTTTGGTATGGGGTGGGGGGGGGTCGAAGTGGGGTCTGCCATTGTGTCAAGAGGCGTAGCTTCAATACCAAGCTTATGGAGAATTATTTGTTTCTGTTTGATGGCCTTCAGTTTACATTATTAAAAATTTTAATATAATGGAAGACAGAAAAATTTTAATCAAATTCTATTGGTTTCAATTGACATTGAATATCAAATGCTAAAAATTCAGTTAAAATAGCCTTGAAAAACTAGTTAGATACAGATATTTGTGTGAGCACAACATTTGACTTCTTACCTAAAATTTGCCAAACCACACAAGTCCTTTACTTTTCTGTATTTCTTAGGATGTTTAATGATGTGCCTTTTCCATTTGTATTCTCAATTATATTAAATTTTTTCTTGTTTGTCATTCTTGCTTACCTTTATAGACACAGCTGGTAAGAAATGTTTTAGGATATCTGGCCTCCTCTCGTACAAGACGTTTGCTATATTTGGAGGTAAATAGAATTTGCTCATTGTTTATAGCTATTACTATATATGGAGCAGTGCTTTTCATATGCTCACACATAGTTTGGGGATATAAAGTTGTCGCCTCTGTTAACGCGGAGTTTTCGCAGGATTTTTTTCAATCTTGGTATGAAGCACCATACGAAGATGATCCCTGTGGATCTTAATCATTTTCTGATCTTCCGTGTTGTTTTCCTCCCACGCACAAGTGGATCATTGAAATAAAAACTTGAACCATATGTTGGTCCCAAAATGACCTAATTTGTGTCAAGTGGACTTAAACCCCACCTCTCTCTCTCTCTCTCTTTGTTTTAATATATTGCTATTTTTATAGTATAATAATTATATTACAGACAATGAAGAATTTATTAAGTGTATGGGGTGATGGTAGTGCTATTAAACATACATCATATTCTCAACATCTGTTTATATCTAGAGCTTTAATGATATGTATTGGTTATTTAAATGAAAAAGAGAAGTCATTGTTGAAGGAAGGTAAGTAAACTATGTTGATTATTAAGTCTCACTGAAAGATACATTATGGGAGATTAGATAAAGAGCTGGCAGTTCTCACTATAATAGTTAAAACAAGATATTGTAAAGGAAATTTGCTGAAAATTTCAGTCAAATTGATCCACTCTGAACTGAGAATTTTAAGTCGTGATTATCCATTTCTTAATTTTAAGTCTCGATTATCCATTTCTTGATTTAATCAGTAGATATTGCAGGCTAGCGATGACATCGAGAGTTTATTATGGTCTGGATAAGTTAATTAATGTCTAATTAATAATTTAGATAACATTTCAGGCCTAAAGAAAGACCTGCAATTTCTTGTATAATGTATGTTTAACTTTGATATGAAATGAAATGGAGTTTAATGTCTTACTTTTCTGCACCGACAGGGCTCGTGAAGACAGGAACTTTGATATAAAAGAGAGCCAGAAATGGTGTTTAATATTTGTCTGTGATATCTCAGTGGAAGGGTAGTTTACTATCCACTTTATCTGCATGCTACTGACAATAATATAATGTTCAAGGTGACACTATTCCTTGTTAGATACAATCAAGGAATTGAACTCACAGCTTGGCATTTATTCACCCATCCCATCTAAATGTTATATTAAGACCAAGAAATTCTAAGATACCTTCAAAGTTATATGCCTTCTTTAATACAGATCATATACAATAGCCTGTTATCTTGCTTTCAATGTACGTACTGGACCACAATGGCTGACTCTTTATGTGGGTTGAAAAAAAAATCTATCAAATGATACTGATTTCTTTTTAGAGTTTGTAGGAATTCTAATGCCAGCAGTTCAATGTCATATTGGTAGTTCTGATATGAAGCTACGTAAACTTGGTATGGTAGTAGCAGAAACGCTAACAAGTACCTTAGATCCTAAAGGACCAAAACTACACTTTGAGGTGAGTTATATTATTATGCATGACACTAAGACTATAGCGGGGGGTTGGATGGCCGAATGGTTAGCACGTGCGTGCTGTATCATAAGGTCTGTCATTGAGACAACTGGCGTGGTTTCGAATCCCCGGTTGTACGGGATAAGGAGTAGGGTCGCCTTTCCAACCTTGTGAGTTTTCTCTGGGTCCTCTGGTTTCCTCCCACTGCTAAAAAACCATATGCGCAAGTGAACTATTGAAATAAAAGTGAACCATGTGTTAGTCCCGAAATGACCTACTTTGTGGACATTAAACTATCTCTCTCTCTCTCTCTCTTTCTCTCTCTCTCTCTCTAAGACTATAGGGGTGCAGGGTACATATCCAAGGTATTAGGACATTTTACTTGCACGCCAATATGTACACGGGGCCTCAGTTTTTCATCACATCCGAACGACTAAACAGCTGTCCTTGTCAGGTTCTCTGTCCTGCATCACTGACAAGGGGAAACTTTGACTTGTGCACAACGTAATTGTAGAAAGTACATCTGTATAAAATAACCATTTTTGCATAGACAGAAGTTTGCTGAGGATGGTGCATGGAATGCAAAATTAATCTCTTAATTTCTAAATTCACATTTTCGGTGTGAGTTCTGTTCTCGTCAAGTAGGTTGATAAAAAAAATTATCTGTGTGGTAAGCAAGATCATTGGGAAATAACTGGTTCTAGTAAGTAAAACATGATTGGATATTTTTCTCAATTGTATTATGACTATGTTATAGTTTGAGAGAGATGTAGAGGTGTATGATTTATTATCATATCTTCATGTACCTGAAGATACAAGCACACAGACACCAGAAGCAATACCAAGGTTTGTTGTCTGTTCTATAGCCCTGATTAGTTAAGAATCAATAGTAAAACAGTTCCCCTTATTTCATTTTTAAGAATTTTTTTCTTTGTTTCCTTGCTTCTGAAATCCAAATCAAAATTGTTGCTGCATTTAGCTTAACTTAGTGATTTAGTTAGTGCATAATGCAGTATATGCTTTTGTATTCTAATGAATCAATGAAATCGTTGACATTAACTTGATGTTATCATTTGAAGAAGATCATAATTGTGCAGTTCTAAATCTTATTCTTTGTTTCCTTAAGTCATAGGATCATCAGATATACGAATAAATAATTCAATGTATTATAATTTAAACCACAAAATACACAAAACCAACACATATATAACATTAATAATAATAATAGTCTATTTATACTGCGCAATATCCATGCATGAGCATGCTCAAAGCGCAGTCCAAAAATGATCACAACTGTCACAAAGTGAAATGCCTTCTTAAACAAAAAGGTTTTAAGTCTGGATCTAAACACAGCAATATCTGGAGAGTTCTTTATTTCCAGTGGCAGATCATTCCACTCTGTTGGGGCTGAGTAGGAAAAAGTTCTTTGACCAAAACGGGCTGTTTTAGGCTTAGGCACTACAAGGAGTTTCTTATCTACTGATCTGAAGGTCTTTACAGGAGTATAGGATTGCAAGAGATCACTCAGGTATTTTGGGGCAGTACCATTTAAACATCGAAATGTATAACAGAGAATTTTAAGTTTGATTCTGTAACTAACAGGAAGAAAATGAAGTTCTTTGAGAATTGGTGTTATGTGACTGTAACGAGGAGCAAGAGATATTATTCTAGCTGCTGTGTTCTGGATCTTTTGGAGTCGCGAAACAAGAGAAGTAGGAGCACCAGCCAGTAAACTATTGCAGTAATCTATCCTGGAAAGAATCAACGAGGACACCAGTATCTTAGTCGAATCAGCATTAAGATATTTCCTGATGCACCCAATGTTCCGTAGAATGAGATAGCACACTTTAGATATATGGTTGATGTGGGTTTCCATATTAAGATTGCTATCAAACATCACTCCAAGATTTCTTATACTATTTGAAATTGGAATAGAGAAGTTGCCAACATGGACATTGGTTATACCGCATAGATCACGTCTAGATTCAGGACCAAGAAGTAAAGCTTCAGTTTTCTCATCATTAAGTTTTAATTTATTTGCTGTCATCCACAATTTAATTTGTTCATAACACTTTGAGAGTTGGGAATTGGTTGAAGCAGCTGACATTCAAACACCAAAACTTGAAGAAGAGGAACTTTGTAGAGAGGTATATAATTATTTAATAAATTTGATTACAGATTAGAAAAGAAAGATATTGAACCAGTAACATGTAAAACAACAGATAATCCAACAAATTTAACAGATGACCAAAATACTAAACATAATATTCAAACAGACGTAGAACTTGATAGGTAAGTATTGATAGATAGACATCTTGTTTCGGGGGAAGGAGAGAGAGAAATGGGGATTAATGTCCAGGTCATTTTGGGACTAACAGCTGGTTCAATTATATTTTTATATTTCCATAATTCGCTTGCACGTGGAGGTCTTTAGCAGTGGGAGGAAACCGTAGATAACCCAGAGGCTGGACAGGCGACCCTACTCCTTGTCACGTACAACTGGGGAATTGAAACCACACCAGTTGACTTAATGACAAACCTTATGATACAACATTGATCAAAACATTATAATCATTCTAGAGAATGAGATGAGCCAAGAAGAATTTTTAGGTGAACTAGTTTTAGATCAGGGTTTAAAAGCTGGTTGTCTGCTTTTCGAATCTAGTTTTTTTTGAGAGGTGACAAGTATAAAAAAAAAATCCAATTGTCGTCTGCGACAACCAAGGCAAAACTCAGTGTGTACGTAAAATAAAATCTTTTAATTCTCCCGTCAATTTTCTTCAATCTCTGGTATGTTTTGGAAATTTATAAAGCTTATAATACGAGTAGTGAGTCTAGTTCTTATCATGCCCTTTGACTATTGTTGCTATGACTATGTGGTGCCATAATGTATTTGATTAACCAGTTTACTGAACAGTAGGTCTATACAAGGATCTGTTGGGTTTATTTGAAACTATGTATTTTATTCAGGATGTAATTGTGACCATAAATTGATGTTATATATTTTACAGTGATGATGATCTAGAACCATACGATATGTCAAATGATGTCAAAGTGACAAAAGTGAAAAATCCCAAATATATCCGAGATTGTATGGAAGGTAATTTACTTTATTTCCTTATTAGATCGTTAGATCGTAAGGTCTGTGGTTTCGATTCCCTGCGTGTAAGTGACGAGGTGTAGGGTGCCTGTCCAACCTCACAGGTTTTCTCTGAGTTCTCCGGTTTCCTCACACTGCTAAAAACGCCTACGCACAAGCAAATTTTACAAATAAAATAGAACCATATGTTAGTCCTGAAATGACCTAGTTTGTGTCGAGTGGACTTTAAATCCCATTTCTCTCTCTCTCCGCAGACACTATGTAATGGTATGAAAATAATAATATGGATTCGGGAGCCATTTGCAATGAATAAAGAAAAACATATCTATGGTGGCCCATGGTCGCAATAGCGTTTTTGGGGTTATTTTTTGTATTTCATTTAAAATCATAAAAAATAAAAGTAAAAAAAAAGAAACATTTTTTTTTCTTTTGTTTTACAAAATAAAAAAAAATCTTTTTAAAATTTAAGAAAAAAAAAATCTTTTTAAATTAAAAAGAAAAAAAAATCTTTTTAAAATTTAAGAAAAAAAAAATCTTTTTAAAATAAAAAAAAATCTATATAAAAAAAATTAATAAAATATTTAAGATTAAAAAAATCTATAAAAAAAATAACATTTTAATTAAAAAAAAAAAATAAGTGAAATAGAAAAAATCAAAAAAAGAATTCTGCACGTGGCCCATCGTCGTAATAGTGTCTTGATTATCCAGACTCAGTATAAAATCAGCCTACGACAGCTATCATTCGACTCGAGTGACCAGAAATACCTCGTGGCCCATTGTTGCTATAGTGTCTCGATTATCCTATGTGGCATAACTCGAGCGACAAGAAACGAGTTTGTAGTTATCTCCCCTTCCGAAAGGAAAAAGGTAAACAGACATCAACACGTGAAACACAATTTTTCCACCCATGACGTCTATGGACTTGGATATATGTATTTATACATATGCAAGTCAATAGAAATGTATAATTAATAGACTATAGAAGCCTAGCGTCATTTAGACTAGTTTATCCAGTCTAACTAGAACTAGGCCTACATACATAATGACGTTTGAAGTCATTGACTTAAATGACACCATTCGGCCTACTAGTGCGCAAGGCCTATTCTCCCCTCAAAAGGCTTATGTAATGTTTTTAAAACACTTGGTCTCCCTGAGGTCGAATTTCAAAAGTAGTTAACAACTTTGAAACTAATCCTCGAAGTATAGGCCTACTACTACTAAGTAGCCGTGCGCGCTGTATCATAAAGCCTGTCATATCATAAAGCCCGTCATTGAGTCAACTGGCGTGATTTCGAATCCCCGGTTGTACGTGACAAGGAGTAGGGTGACCTGTCGTTCAGATTATCCTGTGTGGGATCTATGAAGAACGTATGGTATAGACTCGAGCGACAAGAAACCAGTCTATAGTTACCTCACATCAAGGCACAAGTAATTTTAACTAAAATCTATTAAAATTAAATTTTAAGTTACAATCGATCTTCGTGAAACGCATAAATTTAAAATTTCACTTTGATTTTAAAATCTGTTAGTGATTTTAGCTTCAGTTTTTGTGAAACCCCTGCTCTCCCTGAGGTCATCGCTAGTCCCCCGCTACGACCACAGGAACGGGTAAGAGGTGCGAAAGTGCGATGGCGGACAACATCAATTTCAAAGACAAAATAGAGCATGATAGCCTACGTGGACTTCGTCTGGGGCCTGTTTTACTAAGATAAAATTCAGATTTTAGTATTTGATTGGATAATAGATAATATTAGATTTATTTTAGTGCTTAGCTAATCAAAATTGAAGTATCTACAATTATGTTGACGTGAGATAACTACAGACTCGTTTCTTGTCGTTCGAGTTTATACGTTCTTCATAGATCCCACACATAATAATCGAGATACTACTGCAACAATGGGCCACAAAATGTTTCTGGTCGCTCTAGTCTAATGATAGCTGTATACTTGGTCTGGATACTCAAGACACTATTGCGACGATGGGCCACGTCGGGAATTATTTTTTATCTTTTCTTTTTCAATTTTTTTTTTTCATTTAATTTTTTTTTTAATATTATTTATTTTATTATTTTTTTTTTAAATATATTTTATTTTTTTTTTTATATATATATATATAGATTTTTTTTTTCATTTTAAAAGATTTTTTTTTTTTCTAAATTTTAAAAAGATTTTTTTTTTTTTTAAATTTTTAAAAAGATTTTTTTTTTAATTTTTTAAAAAGATTTTTTTTTTTAAATTTTAAAAGATTATTTTTTTTTATTTTGTAAAAAAAAAAAATGTTTCTTTTTTTTTTTGTACTAATATTTTTATTATTTTAAATGAAATACCAAAAATAACCCAAAAAACGCTATTGCGACCATGGGCCACCATACATATCCCACAAGACAATGCGGAAATAATTAGTATTGACTGATTCAGAAAGGACAAAATGATAATAAAATGGACTAAACAGGCATAAACAACTGTAGTTTAATTTGAACTGTTCACATATTTCACCAAACATAATGAATGAATTAGAAATTACAATAATTATTTTAAAAATGAATATAAATCACTTTATTACATTAATATAATTATTTAGGCCCAATTTCGGCTAAATGTAGCATAGACTGTTTATTGTCGTAACTATGGTACCAGTTCTTGACAATCAAAACTTATCCCCTTTATTGTTAAACTCTTAAATATGTTCTAATCTACTTAAAATTGGAGCCATCTGATGGCCTACAGAGTTGATTATGGGCTTTTCATGTTAATAAATGTTTAAATAAAAGCTTATGTAACCTTTGAAGTCAGAAAAAAGACCTGCAATAAGCAGATTTAGTTATTACATAATGCATCTCAATACACGTTTGTGCAGGTTTGATATGTTCTGATGATGCAGAGAGAGTAGAGGCCTGTCTTTTTAGTGCTGAACAGTTAATTAGAAAATCACCTGATGGTCTTAAAGAGGTTTGTTTCTCAATACTTTTAACCTTAATTGTATGTAAGCAATAAGCCTTCTTATTGATGTCCAGATAATTATTACACAATCAGTTAATTATTCACAATCAGATAATTATTTTGCAATCAGATAATTATTTCACAATCGGTTAATTTTTTCACAATCAGTTAATTATTTTAAATTTAACTTGTTCTTTTAAAGCTACTCTGATTTCAGAAGATCTTCTGTGTTTTCTGCAGAAGAGAACAGTTAATTGTTGATACACAGGACATAAATCTATGCAATATAATTACGGTTTCGACTATGCTTTTCTCGTCTTTATCAACACTAATAAACACCAGATGAGTTGCAGTGTCCTGTATATTTCCATGGATTTATAAAGATGTCTGGATATATGTGTTCATTGGAAGAAAGTCCATCTCTTCTTGGAAGAGGAAAAATTATATTTATGTTTTATAACTTATTATTTTTTATAATGTAGATTGCAGCAGAATTTAGTAAAATATTGCTACATTTACAAAACAATTTTTCAACACGTGGTTTTGACGCAGTTAGATTTGGTGCCATGGTAGCTTTAGCTGTTGAATGTCCCGTTGAGGTAGGCAACTTTTTGAAAACCAAAGTATTGGATTGTTATCGAAATAGACTAAAGATAATTTTATTTAAAATGGCTATATCACATTGATTTGGGTCAAAAATAAAATCGTAGATTACAATTTGTCTTCATTGAAAATCTCATGACTATAGATTTACAGATAAATCCCGTGTTTAGATGTAGTTGACTTAGTTCTTCACTGTTAACACAATAAGCTAGAATTTGAACTAAAAGATGAATTCCAAAATTGAGATAGCACATGGTACATTAGAGTACCAATTCAACACTTTATTTTGATTTAAATAAAAGTCTTAGCTCCTTACTAATTATATATATTTAAAATTACTTGAAGTGATCAGACAAAAATTTATATTTTTTTCAAGGTGGCTGGTTACCTCAGCAGTCAATTCTATGAAAGAAATTACAACCTAAGACAAAGAATGGATATTCTAGAGGTATTACATACTATTACCAACTATTAGTAAATGTCTACAAATGCCAGACATCAACAATAATTAAACACACAAGCAATCAGTGTGTTTGTTCATAAGAATGATGAAGGGCAAAAGCAAACTACTCCTCGGTGATATTTGTAACAAGGCTATAATTTCTACGAACAAAGTTCTCATATTAGATTAACGTCCTTATTTCTTCTAACTGTTATTATTATAGGTTCTCTCTGCAGCTGCTCAAGAATTAGCCAAACCAGTTGATAAAAACAGAGTCAGGTCAGTAATCCAAAGTTTTAGCAAATAAAGTGAGTTACAGCTACATATTGTAATACCCTTAAAAAGGTATTTGAAATTTAAAATTATTAAGTTTGTGGATTTTATCCCGACTTTTTTCCTAAATATTTTAAATAGGCTATAACTTTAAGTGAACTCTTTGACACCAACATAAAGATATGGCTTCCACTGATGCAGAAACTTACCATCAATGAGTGTTGTATGCAATGAGAATAGAGTGAAGAATGGCATGTCATAATTAAAGATAATACTATTTATTTTATGATCAGTAGTGGAATACCGCGTTTTATCAGTGAAATAAAAGTGTTATTCCACTGGCTAGATGTTTTTACCTAAAATGATTGTAAAATCATAAAATAAATAGAACATTTGTCGTTTTGTCGTGAATAACATATTTTATTTCATCTCTAAGCAAGAAAACGTTTATATTTTCACTCATGCTACGCATTCGTGAAAATATAAGTTTTCTTGCTTCTCGATGAAATAAAATATGTTATTTACGACAAAACGACAAATATCCTCTATATATTCAGTAATTAACCATTCTATCTTTCCAGCCACAAATACATTGAATTTATATTTCAGGCAACATCAACCAGTAAAAGAAATAAAACCAGTTAAAGAATCAGACGATTGGAGAGAAATTGTAGAAAAACGTATAGAGGGTAAAACGAGGCGCTTTATTAAAGGTCGCACACAACCAGAACCTGCACAAGTAGCCAATCGTTTTGCTCCTGTAGCCGGACACTTTTTCTTTCCACTGCTGAACAAGGTTGACAGGTATTTGTGTTGTATTAAAAAAAAGTATAAGGGTGGTTGGCGATATGAAACAGGATTTATGCAGAAACATGTATAGATTTATGTTGATAAATACTCATTCAAACTGCTCCATATTAGGTGCCCATCAGTCATTTTTTCTTGGAACTGTAATAAACAACCAATCTGGCTTTTTGGGTCCTGAAGGAAAACATGTATGGTTTATTATTTAAAGTTCATTAGTTGCAACAATTATTGAATGATGATAATTTTCAGTAGCTTAGCATGTTATTGCATCTTCACGTTATATAAAGACTGACCTTGTACAACATTTTGAAACAATACTGTCATTTATAAACTATAACAGTTAATTCATGAATTACTTATGTTAATTGTGTTTTATGTCTGTTTTGTAGAAGTCAACCTAGTTTTGATTTATTAGGAAAAGAAACTATTGTATTAAGAAAGCTTATATATTCACTTGGTATCATTCTCCATTCGGCTTTACATGTTCCAGTAAGTACTAATTACCGTAAACACTGTTATTCTAATTCTAATCCATTTATCAACATCTAAATAAAACCATAATTATATAAATTATGGGCTAGACTGTGTTTAAAAGATAGAATTATATGCTCTTGAGATACATTAATGATGATAGCCAAAATAATTATCAACTAATGTAAACTTCAAACGGACATAACTTAATAGCTGATCGATTTGTTTCATTTTTGGAATAATATGCTTTGTATTTAAATATTTTGTGGCAAGTCGCTCCTTTAAGATGTTCTGAATTATCTTAGGTCCGTGTAATCTGTCTTGATAAAATTACCTTGTTAGTATCAAATTGTTCTGTATTTGATTAATTTTAATATTTACTTCAATAAGCTATATGCATGTGTTCGCAGGTTTGATCGGTAAACCTGTGGTGGACATATAAAAATGTATATTTTTGGAATAATCTTTCAGTTAGCTACACAAATGTGTGTAAATTTACTAGAGTTCATTTGGGCTTTAAGATATCATTCAGATAGGTAAGTAGTTTGTTTATATTATTTTGGATATTAAATTGTTCATGACTTAATCGATGCTAAGAGCTCTTTAAATTGATTGTTTTACTTTTAATTAAGATAACAAAATCAAAATATCAACTATAGATAATCTCCCAGCTTGGATTCAGTCAGATTAAAAAAGAGGCCCATCAAAGATTTTAGCAAAGATTATGGCACTGGGGGCTTTTTTTGACCATTGCTCTGCAAAAGATGATAAAAGTGTTGACAGAGTTTAAATTTATCAATAAACGATTTTTGGAATGATATTCTTTTAAGAGATTCAACTTAAACACATGCAGTTTACATGAAATTAAAAATTCCTCAAATGACGATCAGAGACTTTAATTAGAAACAGGAAATTTACGTGTACCACATTTTTTTATTTCAAGTGTTAAGGATTCCTGTTGTCTGATATCTTGTATTTGAAGTAGCCAACTGATAGTCCCAAATGCTTGTTTTATCCCTTTCAGAATTTGACACAAACATGAATGTTAGAAAATGTTGGAAAAAGAAATCAATATCGGTTATTTGTATAGTTTATGTGTTGTTATTTTCAGCTGTATTAGACAAGCATTACTATATGCTACATCCATGGTTATACTAGTATTACCACCATTTTGTGTTTTAACTGATTTACAAGATGTGATGTTAGAAACAAAATCATGGTTACAAGGTAAACAATAATACAAACCAATTTAATCATGTACAATATATAAGTCAACTTAACATTATTCAAGTCATATCTATTTCTTTCTTGTGTCTGGAGTAATTAGTTACATTTAGTTTCAATTATTTGTTGGTTTCTATAATATTAAATAAGTTTATGTTATATTATTATAGAAACTATTGATAATGATACTGATATGGAGTGTAAAAGGATGGCGTTACAAGCTTTAGTTTTATTGGAAAATACTATGCAACAGGTAATTGCAACAGAAATTTGTAGCTTGTCGTGTTATTTATCAATATATTTCTTTGTGTGTCAGAGAGAGCTCACAAAGTTGGGCAGGTGACACGACTTCTTGTTACGCTCATGCTTTGGATCGAAACCACACCACTTGACACATAAAGATAAACATTTTATATGGTGCCTCAGTTTTACAGAGAAAATTTCACTTCCACCATAAAAGTAAATATTACATTTAAAATAACCATTAAAGATACCTTCCCACGTGCAAACTGTGTGATTTGATGATATATTTGAACTTAAAACATATTCAAACTAACTAACCTATCAAAAACATGCTTCAAATCCCTCTCAAAACATTGTATTCCCCGAGGAGATACCCCAAGCTATAAAAAAATCTATTTTTAGAAGTCATGTTTATCACCTAACTTGGTTGAGGTAGGGCCCATTTTCAGAAAGTATTTGTCATTACTTACTGTCCATACATATTGAGACCAAATAAATTCATGAATTATTTTCTGTCAACTTCTTTTTCCACCATTTAATTGCAGAGTCTTACAATCTACTGAAAAATGACATAAAAAGTGATGATGCATGTATTTCATGTTTTTTGGGGTTTTTTTTCATCAAATTCTGCATACAATCTACTTTAATGACTCTTTGTAGCTATGATGTCATGTAAAATATAATTTTTAGCATCCTATAAAGAGTTGATGCTCAATCAGACAAAAGGAAGAAGTGGGGTGCTGCAGAAAACTATATAAAAAGTTGATAAGGTTAAACCAGATATTTATTTAAAAGAGTTTTAATGTTACTTAATAATATGTGGCTTATTGTCATCTTATTTTTTATTTTCAGGGTTTTAAACTCGATCTGAATGATGGTAGAGCATAACAACCTTACATCTATGATTTTACTTGAATGAATGAATGAATGAACAATTAAATTTGATGAATCAAATGATTACAAACTTCTCGAACTTGAATCAAATACAGTGTATTTACAAACTTCTTGAATCAAATATTTACAAATTTGTTTTGTTTTGGTTTACCATTGAAAACTGAACATTCCACAATTTACAATCAAAGGACTTTGTTCAGCAGTGGTCCAAGAATGAGAATTTGTAGCACTATGCAGTGTGTTTTTTTATAGAAAAGGTGCCATAACAACCTAGGTGGAAGTGGTTGTTAACTAGCAGTAGCAGTAGTATTTAAGTGCAAGGATATGATGGGTCACTGGTCCGTGCCACTAGTAACACATGCGATGTAAATATAATAAGACTGGATGACTGGAAGTAATTGTTGTATGATCTAGCCAGTGATATTTATGCCTAAATTAATTTACATGTACCAGTAGTGAAATTACAGTCATTGTCCATAAACAAGTCCACTGTTGACTACACATGATGATTATTTTGTATATACACTATGTACACTTGGAATACAAGCTAAAGGACTTCAAAAGTTTTATCCATATGATGGAAGCTTGAACAGATTTTGTAAATTTGTAGGTAATCCACGGGACCAGATATATGGTTTTTACCTTGAGAACTTCACTTTTCCACATAAAGCAAGGGGTCTCTTTTTCACCGAAGGTGTTTATTTCTATCTGCATTGACCAAACCATACCATGTTCACATTGTTTTAAAGTGACATTTTTACATACAGGACCGGTATTGATGTAATGATATACGCCAACTTCCACCATTCTCTCTCAATTAGAATCAAAGTTATCGAGCTCCAAAGTCTTGACCAATCAAATTGCTTATTAATCTGCTTAACCTAAGCCAAATGCTCATTATTGAACTTAGTCATGGTATTGATGTAATGAAACTATAGAAGCAAAGTCATCCTGTCCCAAAGCACCGACCAATCAAATTGGATAAGCAGAAAATGCTCATCATCAAACACAGTCAAGGCATTCACCTAATAAACACCTACACCCGACGCGTTTTTTTAAAAAGTATTATCTAATAAGCACAGTTAACTATTCGTAACAAAACACAACACAAGGTATATATGTATATAAGTACTTCTGTATTAAGTAAGACGTTCCTTAACACATACAGGTCACGTTTTCAAGGTATCCTGTATGTGTTACGAAGCGTCGTTATTAAATAATAGAGAAGTACTTACAACCATATATACCTTGTGTTTTGTTATGAAATTATTATTTTGTCGTTTGTGAATCAGCCTTTAGTAATTACTTTCACATTGTGTTGTAGGATATTTTTTATTTGTTTATTACAAAATAGCTCCCGAAACCATAGGGTACACGACTCGTGTACTGATTATAAAATGTTAATTGTGTCTTGATATTGGATATTGGGATCCGATAGTTTCACGGCAAGATAGCATCATCAATAAAGATTGAAATTGATCAATATTGAATTCTAATTCGTGTTTTAATTTCGAATACTATGGAAAATATTGAATTAGAGACTTAGCTCCTTTAAACCCTGTGATTGAATGATCTAAAATTAAACAACCCCCTTTAATAAGATACGTCGTCTCGTTGAATTTATAAAACAAATGATTCCGTACTTAATTGTTTTATTTTATTACACTGGGGGATACCGAATTGAGTTGAGCGGGAACTAGTACAGACCCCAAACACAGGGTCCGTGAGAGGTTGGGGGGCAGCTGGGACATTTGTCCAGGGGCCTAGAGGAGCCCGGGGTATGCTGAGTAATATATTATAAAAAAAAATGTTGGTATAAATTAAGAAAAAGATACACTGTTTCTTGATCGTAAAGTAGAAGAAAATCGGTAGCTTTTCTGAAAGTGGGTGGCGTGGGTAGGATTCTGTCAATCCACTTTTTGGAAAAAATGGTGAATTAAAAACTATAAGCCCCGGCCCGTACTCGTTCCGCTTATGGCTCGCGTCTCATGGTCAGGGTATCCGGGGCCCCTTCCGTTTGAATCCAGTTCAACATGATTTTGGGTATTGGGGGAAAAAATTAATAATATGTGATGAAAAAGAAAAAAAATTGTTTTTGATATTTTGGCGTCAGATGGTCACGGCCTTTTATACGCCTACATTTTCATGTGGACGTATATTGTCGTCGCCCCTCCGTCCGTCCACAATTTGTTTGTGGACACGCTACAGGTCACAATTCTTATCCGATTTTGACGAAACTTGAAATATAGGTTTATCTCCAAACGATCTCGGCTGCTTTCGATATTGGCATGTGTCGGATCGAAACTTCATGGATTATGGCCCCTGTTTGTACGAAAAATCACGTTTTTAGCTTGTGGGCCCTACATAGGTCACAATTTTTATCCGATTTTGTTGAAACTTGAAATGTAAGTTGATAACCCACAGATCTCGATTCCTTTCGATATTCGCGCATATCGGACCGTAACTTCCTGAATTATAGCCCCTGATTGGACGAAAAATCGCGTTTTTAGCTTGTGGACCCTATAGAGGTAATAATTTTTATCCAATTTTAAAAAAACGTATTATTATATCACCGTTACACCCTAAGGAGGGCGGAGTTCGAATATCGTGAAAATCGGCCCAAAACTGACAGACAAAATGGCCGCCCTTCGTTCTCAAATGGCGTAAAAATATGGTATATCAAGGTTGTGGACCCTATAGAGGTCACAATTTTTATCCGATTTTGTTGAAACTTGAAATGGAAGTTTATAACCCAAAGACCTCGGTTCCTTTCGATATTCGCGCATATCGGACCGTAACTTCCTGAATTATGGCCCCTGATTGTACGAAAAATCGCGTTTTTAGCTTGTGGACCCTATAGAGGTCATAATTTTTATCCGATTTAAAAAAAAAATTATTATATCACCGTTACACCCTAAGGAAGGCTGAGTTCGAATTTCGTGAAAATCGGCCCAAAACTGACAGACAAAATGGCCGCCCTTCGTTCTCAAATAGCGTAAAAATATGGTATATCAAGGTTGTGGACCCTATAGAGGTCACAATTTTTATCCGATTTTGTTGAAACTTGAAATGTAAATGTAAGTTTATAACCCAAAGATCTCATTTCCTTTCGATATTTGCGCATACCGAATTGTAATTTCCTGAATTATGGCCCTTGATTGTAGGAAAAATCACTTTCTTTTCAGCTTGTTCTCTATCTATCTCTCGAAAATGTGGGCGTATCCTGTCTGGCAGCCGCTGGTTTTTCCATTTGTTTACTTGTTTAAAAAAAAAAAAATCCAGTCAAATCGTGTACATCTGATTATTATTACATCAGTATTGGGTAATTCGACATGCCAGCTTGCACGGTTGCTCGTATAGTACCAGAATGTCTTTGCAACTTCATCTGCTGACCTTGGAAGAACGAAAAGGGTAACAACACGGGTCCGATATGTCCGATCAAGCAACCCCACGTCGACAACCGTTTGGAAAGATATGGAGTCGAAGCATGCGGTTCTGTGTAGACTATCGCCGAAGACCGCTTTTGCAACTAGTATAATACAGGCTTGTACCAGTTTACTGTTAATGTCATTCGGGCTGGTTAACACCCCTTCAACTTTCCAGCGACTTGTGGAAGATGTTCTATGTGGACTTCAATGGGTCGAATGTCTATTGTTTATGGATGATATAATTGTTGAAACTGTAACTACCCAAGGATCACTCAAAAGGCTAAAACACGTATTTCAAAGACTCTTGGAAAATGTCTTTTCTTTCAAACTAAAGTCCGATTCTTGGGGCACATCGTTTCGGACGTCGGAGTGGAGACGGGTCCGGAGAAAAGAGAGGAAATTCGGGATTGGCCGATATCAAGAATGTTAACCGGTTAGGAAGTTCCTTAATTGGATTAATTGTGCTTCTACTATCGGAAATTTATTTTGGGATTTTCCATAACACGACCTCTTCACAAGCTAGTTGAACAGAGAAAACACGCCCTATTGCAGAAAAGGAAAAATAACTCTACCGGATGCGGGTGGAGGCAGACCACCATAAAATTTCATCATCTCGGTACCGAGGCAGGCCACCATTAAATTTCATCATCTCGGTACCCACGAATTGTAGTTTGTCTATTTATAGCAATTCCCTCTCTCTTTTTTTTCTCCCCTTTAGCATGCCCATTTTTGTTGATTTTTTGGTCTAGAATGGACGAAGAGGGTTTGAATTAACATTTTCTGCCAGGTTTTGGTAAATATTCATGATTTTGAGGCGGAAGGATAAGAGGGTTATCAGGTTAGCGACGGCGATATGTACGGCAACTAGTTACATGTTTTTAGTATGCTTCTTCAAGTTTGTGTATCTCAAAATTTTGGTGGTCAACCTCATACAAATTTTAGTGCAAAGACATGACCATTTGTTCCTCTGTCTGTAGTGAAAAGCATTCAGCCCAACGAAAATTTGGGGAAAAGTTGGAGGTGGGCAAAGAGGCCAGAATTAACATTGAAGTCAATGGGGAAATTAATGGTGGTCTGCCTCCGGGTGCAATCCACAACCACTTTCTTGTTATTAACGAAAACTACTCAATTTTACACGAATACTGGCAGAGGTTACAAAGCTTTCCTGGGATTGGCAAAAGATGAAAATCACTGTCCTGGAATTGCGGACAGGAGATGACACGTGCAATCATATGTAATGCCCATTATTTGAAGAATAAAACACTGTATTGCTATTGTTATGTTTCTTTTATATTTTAATAAAAAAGAAAAGAAAAATAGATGCACCTCGATATTTTTTATATTTAATTCCCGTACCGGCTTTCAGTTCATGTCAGCATGGACCTTAAGTATTATAAGGTCCATGATGTCAGTAATATTCCTCAATAATTACTATCTCCGTTTGTACGACAGAAAATGAAATAGGCCTAAAATATTATTTTAAAATTCATCGATAGTTAAAATCATCCATCAAAAGGCATGGCGATCGACCTCAACGTATTTTCAGGTCTTGTTTGCTATTCGCCCACGTGTTAAGTTTTCGCGCCAAATTTAACCATTTTACTATTTTTGTAGTATGAAATTTAATGAAAGGCGTATGCAGACCCGTGGTGCCTTATGTTGTAATCAAAGCTAGTATTTTCATGCGAAACCACGGGATAATGCCGTTATCGCCGAGAATTTCAAAATGGAGTCCTAGCAAAAGTTGTGCTTCATGGATTAGCAGAAAATACGTTAACTGCTGTTTATAAATAGCTAATAATTTAGAGCGCTTTCGGGTTTGGTAGCCTATATAACGTTGGACTGTTGTTGTGTAAGGCACATTTAGTTGTCAGGTGAATGTTTCTTTGGGTTGGAAATTATAATTAAAATAGCGTGATGACGCGACCACGTGCGCGAACGATTCTTACGAAAGAAAATGTATAGGCCTAACAAATTAAAATATTGTGTATTGACATCGGTACGCGGAGCTAATTAATGGGAAGTAAATACGAATTAAACATGAACAAATTTCTGACAACTTTTTTTGAAATAAAATACGCAGTTGAGAGTGGGATTACGTAGGATTGATTAGGGCAATCAAATACGCACCTAGGTTGGTATTTAGGCGAGTGGTGGAGCGTGAGAGCGACAGCACGCTTCAAATGTGAAAGCCTATGGAAAGTCTTTTAGTGTAGAAAATTAAACATCATTTCAGTTATGCATTATGGATCAATTCCGTCAGTATGAAGAGAAACTTTAAATTTGAGGTTAATGTGTGAATTATATCATAAAATTGAAGTGTCTTTGACGCAAATTAACCAAAATTGTTTTATTTTTGCATGTTGTGCAGACAAGACAAATAAATTATCTAGCCCAATTTTTGAAAATTCCAACAGATGGGGAATTGTTGGAAAGATATTTTCTGAAAATTTGATGCCAATATCTTCAATAGGTGCTGAGAAATGGTCTTCGGTCACTTCTTTTGCAAATTCTAAAAAAAGGTGTTAGGGGAGAGCGGGGCTAGTTCTCACCATTTTTAATAAAACCAGCATATCTCGATAACGTTGAAGCTAGTACGTTTCCGTAGACTATACATGTACTAGATTAAAGACAGTGGAGTTGACTAATATACAGCATACATTAAAGAGTTTTATTGCCAAGCCCAGGCGTATACAAGTAATTTCATCTCAAAGTCACCATGTCCGAATGGGTGAACATCCCCCCCCCCCCCGGTTGGGGAAAGTTCGCCCGGAGAAATAAAAAGACATTTATTTTCAGTTATTTATCTATTCAATGAAACTAAATTTGCAAAAATTTCTTCATTGCCTCTCCTGTTAATTGTCCTCTCGACGTCCGTCTCTAACTTTCCACCCAAATTTTCGTTGGGATTAACACAGATGGAACAACATGGATTAAAATTGCAATTTAAAAGTTTTTATGAAATCATAGATCAGATGGTTTCACAACACTAGATAATCGAGTACATTTGAACCGCCACTTCCGCTCCGTGATATCCCGTACGATGGAAAGCGATTTTAAATTATTATTTGTTTATGTTATTTCCCTATTTTATGTAAGGACTTACACGTGTGGGGATAGAGATATACGCTTTATAAAATAATGGTTTATCGAATATCAAATGAGTGACTTTACAGCCTGCGAGATTTTCCAACACTGGATATTCGAACAAGCTTGAACCGACCGACCACTTCCACTTCCGTTCCGCCATAGCCCGTAAGAGGGAAAGCAATTATTTTTTGTTTACGTTTTTTCCCATTTTAATTTTTATGTAAGTACTTACAAATGAAAATGCATACTTTGCTGTCATCCTTACTTTTGAACAAAGAACTCTTGATTGAGATCTTCCTTTATCATTAGAGCCAAGTATCTTTTGGCGGGACCAGATAAACTGACAAGACATAGTGATGGTCGATAGACGATGGCGTGTTTTCTAAATCTCATTCATTTTGACTTTTGAATGATTGACATCTTTTTGTAAACTGATTTTGACTAAGGTATTGCCGTGCTATGCTGATCTTACATGTTGAGTTGAAAATAATGAAACAGAAGTAATATGGTAAAGGGCTTTACTGGGCCTGGGACCCTGGGAGTATCAGTATGAATAATGGACTAGAACTTAGAAGTAGAAGCGCTGATTAGAATAGTCTATGACATGTATTTTTTTGCATCAAAACACCCACGGAGGACGGTTAGAGAGTAGGATTTGTGACCTAACGGTTGCAGGTTCGAGAGCCGAATTGTGCATCAAATTCTTGTGTCCTTGAATAAAACACTTCATCCCTGTATTCCAGTCTACCCAGCTGTAAATGGGTACCGGTAGGATGGTGTATGTATTACACAAAAAACTGTTGCGCTCCTTGAAGCAGCATATGTTAGGGCTCATTCTAACATTTAAAAAGAGTTCAGGGTAAAGGGAGGTAATCGGGCTTTACATGTATCCTAGAGACCGGGATAGTAATTGTGTCGCGCTTTGAGCATAAACTTAGTTTGTGGATATAGCACATTATAAATATGCACATTATTATACATAAACAAAATATACCAAAGATACTGCAATATAAGTAATGCAAAATTTAAATATCTTATTCTCCATGCAGAGGTCTCTTCATATGTTCACTGTCCTTTATTCTACAAATGGTGCAGGCCAATATATTTATTTTAAGGATGCCCTCCTGTACCACATACATGTAGGAACTGTGCCATTTGATGATATAGTTGGACTGAAAGCTTATTCAAACTTATTTATCTATCAAAAGCTTGATTCAACTACTTCCCAAATCATTTTAATTTGAAGAAAACAACCACACGCAACTAGAATCGACATGATTGAGGGAGAATCTAGTTTTAGCTTATATTTTTCATTAGCTGCTGTTTATTTACCATAAATTTGAAGCCTGTGTAAATTCCTGAATTGCCCTCTGCCAACTTCTTTTTCTTCCATTTAATCAAAGAGTCTACTGTCTTCTCACAACTATTGACTGTTATATCAACACAAGCGCTCCTTACGTCACTCAAGGAGATAGCCAGCCTTTTTAGGGATACCATCACATATTTATTTTGTTCTAGCACCATAGGTGTTCTTCATGGAAGCTGTATCTTTCTAGTAAGATTGGGTGTACCTACATGTACATTCCATATACCAAAATTCTTATCTAACATACATTTATTATTATTATTGTCCCCCGCCTTTCGAAGAAAGCAGGGGACTATTAAAATGGGTTCGTCCGTCCGTCTGTCTGTCCGTCTGTCTGTCCGTCTGTCCGTCCGTCTGTCTGTCCGTCACACTTTTTGGGACACAATAACTCTCTTCCTAATTGAGCTAGAATGTTCAAACTTGGTGTATGTGTTTATTAGGTCAATGCCTTGATGGAGTTCGAAGATGAGCATTTTCCGCTTAGGGTAAGCAGAGATAAGCAATTTGATTGGTTGATGCTTTGGGACACGATAACTCTCTTCCTAATTGGGCTAGAATGTTCAAACTTGGTGTATGTGTTGATTAGGTCAATGCCTTGATGGAGTTCGAAGATGAGCATTTTCCGCTTAGGGTAAGCAGAGATAAGCAATTTGATTGGTTGATGCTTTGGGACACGATAACTTTTAATTGAGCTAGAATGTTCAAACTTGGTGTATGTGTTTATTAGGTCAATGCCTTGATGGAGTTCGAAGATGAGCATTTTCCGCTTAGGCTAAGCAGAGATAAGCAATTTGATTGGTTGATACTTTGGGGCACGATAACTCTCTTCCTAATTGAGCTAGAATGTTCAAACTTGGTGTATGTGTTGATTAGGTCAATGCCTTGATGGAGTTCGAAGATGAGCATTTTCCGCTTAGGGTAAGCAGAGATAAGCAATTTGATTGGTTGATGCTTTGGGACACGATAACTTTAGTTCTAATTAAGTGAGATTGATGAAACTTGGTGTATAGTTTCATTACAGTAATACCTTGACTAAGTTTGATAATGAGCATTTTCTGCTCAGGGTAAGCAGCAATTTGATTGGTTGATACTTTGGGGCACGATAACTCTCTTCCTAATTGAGCTAGAATGTTCAAACTTGGTGTATGTGTTGATTAGGTCAATGCCTTGATGGAGTTCGAAGATGAGCATTTTCCGCTTAGGGTAAGCAGAGATAAGCAATTTGATTGGTTGATGCTTTGGGACACGATAACTTTAGTTCTAATTAAGTGAGATTGATGAAACTTGGTGTATAGTTTCATTACAGTAATACCTTGACTAAGTTTGATAATGAGCATTTTCTGCTCAGGGTAAGCAGAGCGATACGCAATTTGATTGGTCGAGACTTTGGAAAACAATAACTCTCCTACTTTGATTGTTAGACTATAAGTAAAGATATACTGTTTGATTGTTCAATACTTTGTAAAAGATAATTTGTGATAAATTTATATGTGTCCTCTAATTATTTTCCTATTTCGGCGGGGGACATCAGCCTCACTGTTGGCTTGTTATTATTATTATACATGTATTGGCATTGTTAGAAACATAATTATACGCCATACAACATTTAATGATTTTTTTTCTTCTTATTTTACCACAGGTTAGAAATATAACAGAATGGCATCTCAGTTTGGTGCTGCTAAAAACCCACCATGGGCTAGGCCTCCAGCAGGTAGAGTTTAATAAGTACTTATGTAATACCGTAGTATGAAATGCTATCAACAAATAATTTGTGCAATAAGATATTCTAGTGCACAGTTATTTTATATCTTTATAGCCAAAATTATTTGGTGCAACCTCAAAACTCGATTTTGAATTAAAAGTATGATTTTTATATGGACTGAAAGTGATTCGTAAGCTCACACTATCACAATGAATATAGAAATAATCATGGGAATTATTGGTTGTGTCAGTTAGTTAGAACATGAAAAGATAGGCTACAGAGTGTACATTATAGCTAAGGTTATTTACATCATGCTTCATGACTAAGTGATGCATTACTCCTTATTGCAAAAAATATTTAATTTATGATAGAACAGGATTTCCCCAATGTAGTTGTCCCAGCTATGTGGATTAGAGTCAAGTGCTGAACGGTGATGTAGAAACAAGTTCGACCGTCGGACTACTGTATATTAATAGAATTCCATTTCTTTTAGGGAGCTATTTTAGTGGTACAGGATATAAAAACAATGTTTGATTTATAGCAATGGAAATATGTTAAAGATCCCCTGAAAGATGGAAATCAAATAAGAGTAGGCCTCAGCTCTGCTGTCAAGGCAAAATTTCTCTCACAGCACACTTCATGGTGTATGTCTGTCTTATATTTCTTTTAATTTTCAGATTACATGAATGCTAATCAAGCAACTTCAATGACACAAAATCAACTTTCACAAGCTCAGCAACTTGGTAATACAATCATGGTACCTGGTAACCTTGGTAACCCAACTGTGTACAGTCTGGGATCAAACAACCCATCATTAGGTACACAGCAATATAATGCTGCATTAAACGCTGTAAATCTACAACAGCAACAGGTTGGTAAAGTTGAATGTAAATCTATTTGATACATATAGGTAGCTGCAACATTTCATTTTCAAAACCTTATATCCTGTATTCCGGGCTACTCAGCTGTAATAGGGGTACCACTTGGATAGTACTAGGTAAATTTAATGTAGCATGAAAATTTTGTATTTTGCAAAGAAATGATTCTAAAGAATATGAGAGCATGTTCTGTATCCTAGGAACACTAGCCATCTTCATTAGCGCAGAACAGTAGGACGTTTAACCCCATTTCATTCATTTCTAGAAACAGGGTAATGAAATGCAAGTCGAAAATTGACCCCAGAAACTGGACGATAGATGTCAAAATACTTTACTTTGCATTTACTTTAAAAGTCCATTATAGGTATCATGTTTGGATGAAAATGACAAGAGAAATTTTACAGTACAGAATATTGGGATTTAATTCTTCCACATTTTGATGCATAATATAAAGTTTAATTTGATAAATTGATTGCAGGCTGCGAATGCTTTGCCTCCACCTCAAGCTGTTTTGCCTCAGCCAGGCATAGCCACTCCTACATCATTAGCTTCACATCAGGTACCTACTGTCAGCTACCCAGCACCACGTGTTGCTCAACCACAGACATTACCCCAGGGGATGAAACAAAGAGTATTTACTGGTACGGTCACCAAACTTCATGATACGTTTGGTTTCGTCGATGAAGAAGTATTCTTTCAGATGACGTAAGTATTTGATAGTATGTTGTCTATTTATGACTAATAAAAACAAATGAACAATGCCATGATATATATCATCAGGAAGAGCATATGTTTATCTAGATATACAGAGGCGGATTCAGGGGGGGCGCGAGGAGCCCTTTTTTACTGCTGAAAGTGCCTTTTCTCAGACCCAAATATGTCCGTTCCCAACCCGTTCCAGGGATCCCAAATGACTCAAACCATCGATTCAAACACACCAGTCTGGTCTAATTAATGCTTCCACTTTCAAACGAATTCTTGTTGTTTAGCTGACAGTGCCCTAATCCTATAGAGTGACTATAGACAGACATCTTGTGGAATCGGCGGCGTATACACTCATGTCCATCACCGACATGCAACTTGATGTAGCATTGTTTCATGTGTGGACAGTACAAAGTACAAGTTACAAGGCTTAAATAGTGAAGTGGCTAGGGAATAGATTCGTCTTTTTTCCCATCATAATGCCTCGGTCGCCCTGACAATTTTGGAAGGGTCCCCCCCCCCCCCCCAAAAAAAAATCCCCTCTCAGCGGCGTGCCTCGTCTCCGCGGTCAGCCCCCTCTTTTCAAAATTCCTAGATCCGCCCCTGCTATAAGTGTCTGCGTATTTCATAGAGGCCAGGAATCTGCTGGAACCTCAATTAGAATATAATGAGATTCCAATCCCAGTAAAAGTTGAGAAGAATCCCAGGGTTTTTTTTTACCCCGGGTTTCAATTGGGAGGGGTAGTGCCTGTTAGGCTGACAAAAAATGTTCAGACAGGACGAAAACTGATGGACCGATGTACATATTGATGAAGAATAATTGAAGCATCACTGTCAATGCTAAAACTGGTCCACGAGACCATCAAGAACTAACGAACTTCAGAAGGACCAAAGTATTGTGTTCTGGTCTGAGTAATAATTATGTTTAATCCATCCTTGGACTGTGAAATAAGGAAAGAGTGTCTGTGATGGTATCATACTGTGTTTTATTTTACAGGAGTGTGAAAGGAAACCAGCCTAAAGTAGGTGAAAGAGTTCTGGTAGAAGCAGCTTTCAATGCTAGTATGCCATTTAAATGGAATGCAACCAGAATACAACTTCTTCCTGGACAGGTTTCTATTATTTATTTACTTTAATAAGTCAATCCTTTAATGTTATTGGGGAGTTGGTTGACCGAATGGTTAGCATGTGCTTACTGTATTATAAGGTCTGTCTTTAAATCAACTGGCGTGGTTTCAATTCCCCGGTTGTTGGGTTGCCTGTCAATATGTTAGTCTCAAAATGACCTAGTTTGTGTCGAGTGGACTTTAAACCCCATTTATCTCTCTCTCTCTCTCTTTAATGTTATTAAGAATGGAGTTATAAAAATCAAGTTTAGCCTCGATACACAGAATGAAACCTTACCAGATTTGTGTAGTTCCACAGCTTGCTATTATTTATATAATTAAACAACTCACTTGTTTAATGTTATTTCGTCTGTTATTAAGAATGTATTTAATAAGAGTTCTGCTTGGTTTCATCTGCATGACACTAAACACTGGAGTCTAATATTTATGCATATCTTTTAGGACAAAAATATATGTGATATGAAGTTATTGCATGTTATATTTTCAGCAGCCACAAGGAGTTAATGTACAGCCTACAATGAAGAGTAATATAGGTATGGGTCAAATATTACATTCCAATGTTAATGCTAATATACAACCTACACAGATGTCAATGAATGCTGTTCCACCACCTCCCTTAATGTCACATGGAGCTAACGATTATAGAAGTAAGTTTAATGTTTTCATAAAATTCTTAAAAGATTGGTATTAATCCACAATATGCATACAAAAATATCCAAGAATTGGAGATATATGGTATATGATTATTACAATGGACACATGAAACATGAAATTTATTGCGATTTCCCATAAGCCAAATCAGTATATTTAATTTATAAGTTAAGTGGTATATAAAGAAGGCTTTTGGTAAAAGCTACAAATTGCTCATTTGTCATAGTTCAGGAGATAAAATTATAATTGTTGAGTAGCCTAGTTTTAATATGGAAGCTAAACCTTGTTTACCAAAAGGCTGACATTGAGTCAGCTGGTGTGGTTTCGATTCCCCGGTTGTACGTGACAAGGAGTAGGTTGCCTGACCAACCTCGTTGGTTTTCTCAGGGTCCTCTGGTTTCCTCCCACTGCTAAAGACCTCTCTCTCTCTCTGGTTTACCAAAAGCTATGGCTATGCTAATGATTTATTTATTGCCTTCAGGAAAGTAATTCTATTTAACATAAATAAAATGTGGCATGTAGATAGAGCAATTGGTCTTACTTCCATTTTAATGATTACCTCCATGCGTACATTGTATTTTTGCTTTTCGGTATACAAGAGAGATTTTTACATAATGTACAAAGAGAAATAAAATTAATTGGATTTCTATTTAAATTTTAGGAACTATAATCCTACATTTATTTTCTTTTAATTTTCCCCAAAGCTCTAAAAAATAAAACTTATTTTTTATTGGCTTTTTTTTCTAGGTGGTATATTATCTAGCCAAGGATCATCATCTCGAATGGGTCCGAATCAACCTCCAATTCATCGTAGTGAACCAAATAGATTTAGTTCTATGAAAGATAGAGAGAAACATGCTGATCGAGAGAGAGAACGGAGAGATAGAGATCGAATTCGAGATGTCAGGAGGAAAAGATCACCCCCTCGACATTCTAGATCGCCAGTCAGAAGTCCTCCCAGAAAACGGGCCCCCAGCAGCAGAAGTACTCCAAGATATGTTGTACAGATTCCCAAATTATCATTAAACTTGTAAGTTTATCTTCTTCCTCTTGTTTAATTAAATATAGTTTGATCTCTAACTTTCTAGGTCGAATTCTTCTCTTTCACATATAGCCATATGTTGATCATTGAATACCTGCATTTCATTTTGTTTCAAAAAAATAAAAAGACAGCTGTTGATAAGAGACTTCCATTAAAAGATTGGATTCTATGATGGGGAGTGGGTGGGTCTTGAAAAACGCTCAGTATGTCCTGCATGGAATGTTTTTATGGGTTATGACATATTTTGATGTAGTGATGAATTGAATAGTCTTATAATATGCTGATAATTATTGTACTAATATATCATAAGGTCTGTCATTGAGTCAACTGGCTTGGTTTCGAATACCTGGTTGTACATGACAAGGTATAGGGTCGCGTTCAAACCTCATGGGTTTTCTCAGGGTCCTCCAGTTTCCTCCCACTACACTATTGAAATAAAATGGAAATATGTGTTATTCACAAAATGACCTAGTTTGTGTTGAGTGGACATTAAACCCAATTTCTCTATTGAACTAATAGCGATAAAATAAAATTGTTTTTCAGGAAAAATGCCAATGTTGTTATGTTAAAGACACGTTATAGTAATATGTACATCCCTAGTGATTTCTTCTATACTGATTTAAGATGGAATGATGCATTTCCTCTAGAAAGACCATTTAAATTAGGCAATACTTGTAATTTTCATATAATGGACAAGGATGTTGAGTCCATCTCTCCTAATAAAACACCATTAGATCCTCCTGATGTTGACCATGCATATGTTGCTAAGGTAAGTATTTATCAGTGAGGTTTTCTGCAGTTTGGTTGCTATGTTTGATGTTTGGAACAGTTGATTGATTAAACAATGAATTGATCACTATAATTGTAGTACAAAGAGTTAATTATTACTTATTGTCTAAGCCAATCAACCCTTATGATAATCCTAAGCAATCATACCCATGTAAGATTGAACTCATGGTAAATTTAATGATTATATTTAACCCATACCATGATAATTCTGTAAATTTGGTGATTTTTGATGACTTGACCCACTAGTCTTCGTTATCATTTTCCAAAATCGTGAACATGCAAAAGGTGATTTTTCCTAGTCCATGAAAGAAACATTCATAGAACACCAAATATGCTGTACAAATGGAAATACACAATTTATCCTTCATTAATGTCCCTCACCTTTGATTGGTCAATACTTTCTAGCTCGACAGCTTTGATTTTAATTAAGTGAGGTGGTTTATTTGTTTAAGGGGGGGAGGGGGGGGATGGCCGAATGGTTAGCATGTGCGTGGTGTATATAAGGTCTGTCATTAAGTCAACTGGCATGATTTCAAATCCCCTTTTGTACGTGACAAGAAGTAGGGTCGCCTGTCCAACCTCGTGGGTTTTCTCTGGGTCCTCTGGTTTCCTCCCACTGCGTAAGCGAATTATTGAAATAAAATTAAACCAAATGTTAGTCCCAAAATGACCTAGTTTGTGTCTCGTTAAACCCCATTTCTCTCTCTCTCTTATTTGTTTAAAATACTTTAAATAAAGTTTAAATATATCACAGGTGATGTTACTATCTTCGGCTTCATTGGAAGATTTGTATCATAAATCATGTGGTTTGGCTGAAGACCCACCAGATGTTCAGGAAGCCTTCCAGCATCCCACTAGACTCCTTCAATTTCTAGTTGGAGTCCGTGGCAAAAATGAACCAATGGCAATAGGTGGTACGTGGTCACCATCGCTTGATGGTGCTGACCCCGCAGGTGACCCTCAGGTTCTGATTAATACGGCTATTAGAACTACTAAAGCTTTAACTGGTATAGATTTGTCTAGCTGTACAAAATGGTAAGTGTATATGTTTCTTTTCTCGTAACTATAACTTTAGGGCATTTAGAATGTAAGTAGGGATATGTTTGATTTAAGATAAATATTGTTGTGTACACCTTAATAGATTGTTCTAACTAACAACCTCAGATTTTATCAATCATTTCAATTATAGGTTGAAAAGTAAACATTTTCATATTGAATATTACATAATTTTTTTCTTGAGCATGAAAATTTATAAGTCTGCAATATGTAGAATTAGAATAGGTCAGCCATTTATTTAAAACATTTCAAATAAATCTAACTACCTTATTGGTAGCTTTCATTTAGTTTTAAGTTTTCATAATAGTTTTATACTCTTTGAACTAATATGATAATACCCTTTTTCAAAATGTTTTCTTTCTTTTTTATCATTTATGGTTTAGGACTTTTCCCGCTTCGCTTTACATTCTTTATTTCAAATATTCTGTGAACATTTTTTTTACAAAATGTCCAATTTCAAATTTTTGATATTTATCGTATAATAACTTATCTTTGGACTATATATTGTCTTCTTCCCCCCTTACTTTATACACAGGTATCGGTTTGCAGAGATCTGTTACTTGCGACCTGCTGGTTCCCACAAGGGACGTCAATTAGATGACAGAGTTGAAACGGTGGTAATTTTCATGCCAGATGTATGGATGTGCACCCCATCTCGTATAGAGTGGGAGGAATTACAGTCAGCCTACTCCAAGCAGCTTCAGACTAAAATAGCCAGTAGTCCCGATCCAAAGGACCCAGGCACACAGGCACTGCTAATAATTTGATTTCTTTTCTCCACAGTGGTTTTTATATGAAACATAATTCTTTTGTCTTCATTCATAGTTTTTAAAAATTTATCAATGAAATTTAACTTATTGATTTTAATTACACAGAAGTGACATCAAGTGGTAAATATGCAGTCTTTAATTTGTTAGCTACCATACTTGAGGAAAAATTTAATATCTATATATGATTTACATATTTATAATAACTTACAGCTGCTTTCACAGCTTAAACATACATTATGCAAGAGCTAAATCTGTCTATTGCACTAATTGCAGGTCTTTCTTTAGGCCTGAAATGTTATCTGAATTATTAATTTGACATTAATTAACCTGTCCAGACCATAATCAACTCTAGATGGCATCGCTAGCCTGCAATCTTTAGTGGATTATGAGCCGATTTACTGCATGAAATGTTATCTGAATTATTAATTTGACATTAATTAACCTGTCCAGACCATAATCAACTCTAGATGGCATCGCTAGCCTGCAATCTTTAGTGGATTATGAGCCGATTTACTGCATGACTTTCCTTCACGATTTAACGATTAAATGGGTAATCGAGACTATGCTGTTTATCGTACTGGCTTTAGTAATGATGATTGCAAATTACCTTTATATTATCTAGTTTTTAACTGTTATGGTGAGAATTGTCAACTCGTTATCGAATCTCCCATAATGGTTCTTTAAACAACACTAAAATATACTCTGATTGATAAAGAGAGAGAGAGAGAAATGGAATTTAACGTCCACTCGACACAAACTAGGTCATTTCGGGACTAACATGGTTTAATTTTATTTCAATAATTCGCTTGCGCGTAGGGGTCTTTAGCAGTGGGAGGAAACCGGAGGACCCGGAGAAAACACACGAGGTTGGACAGACGACCCTACTCCTTGTCATGTACAACCAGGGATTCGAAACCACGCCAATTGACTCAATGACAGGTCTTATGATACAGCACGCACATGCTAACCATTCGGCCATCCTCCCCCCCCCTGATTGATTAACATATCAAAATATCAATGATAGATAATCTCCCTGCTTTGATTCAACTCGGATTAAATAAAATAAAGTCCAGTGATAGATTTTAGCAAGATTAAATCCAGTTGAAACATCTTCAAAGTATACTGAATGTTGTCAATAGTTGTCTCCATTCCTTCATATCTTTGTAACTAATGACAATCAGACAATTAAATTATAATATGAATACACTGATGTAAGATCATTGACACAACGTGGCATAATTATTAATAATCCCACCTTGAATGAAAGGCACAAATAAAATAACTTGTTCAAAAAGCAAGGGATTTAATTGATTCTGTTTTTAAACAAATAAAAATGTGAAAAATTGAAATCGCTAATTAGATAATCACTGGTACCATATATATCCTATTAATATTATTTCATGAAAATACTTGTTGTCACTGAGTAATGCTATCTGATTATTTTAATTTAGACGAATAACGTTTGAAATCAATGACAAGAGAATTATGTTTTATTATTGTAAAAAGGTGTGTTGGGGTTTATGAACCAGACCTCATGGACAAGACCTTTTTTCCTTTGTAGTTTTCTAACTCAATTTATCAGATTAGACTACCTAAATCAGATACCAAATTATAAGGAATGATAAAAGAATTAAGAAACGGGCATGTATAAAGACCATGAGGCAATGGAATGAGTGTTTGTATATTATTTTGTTTCAGGGATGTCTGAAGGTATGTTAGATATATCATATATATATCAAGTATATATAGGTCACGATGGCAGATGTTCATTTCTTATATCTTGTTTAAGAGACGTTTATATGTAATGTCTACATATCTGTACTAAATTAATATTAAGGTACATAATGTGAATGATATTAATACATGTTTTTTTTCTCTCTCTATTTGTGTGTGTGGCTATAGGAAGAAGAAGATATGGAAACCGAAACAAGTGGCGAGAAAAAAGAACCAACACATTTCTCTGAATTGGATCCTAAATCCATGAAGGTAAGAATTTATTAAAATTCATTTAGTCCACTCATCAATGGACATTTTAATTTTCAAAGTATCTGTAGGTGGTTGAGTTGTCTTACATGTGTGCACTTTAGATCAGAAGCAGAGCTGCCGACAACCAGTATCGCAGCACAATTTGTGATAAATATTTGTTCTGTTGCTAATCAAAAATTTAAATCTAATGTTTTTGATTCGCAGTCATTTTGGATATTGACGCTTAGATTTATCCACATTTTGAAGACTAAAAGACTTTTTCAACACTTTCTATGTGTATAAAATGTCAATTAAATTTTATAAACAAAACTGAATTCTCTGTGTGACATTTTCTTCTCGAACTATCCAGTCACAATTCATTACACTATATAATACAGGGACATAACTCTATGAATAGGGACTATTAAACCGGAAATAAGGAATCGAGTAGTACCACTGATGTTGCGAGTCATGTCAATTTCGAGTAATTACATCAGTATTTAATTTGAAAAAATAAATCCAGTATATCCCCCACATATTGTAAATAAAATATGAAAATGAGTGTGGCTTTGGAAGACACTGCCAAGAATTGTCTTCAGATATTAGGCACTGATTGTTTTGAATTCAAGTATGGCCGGGCACATGCAAGTGACCTCAAAATCCATCGTTATTTTTCTGAAGCATTCGTTCATGGTGTCAGAGACAAACAGTTAAAAATCAATTTTGGCAAGATTAGACTTTTTGATTAGCAGTGCTGCTAATCAAACTGTGAAAAATTACTGACAGTCCTTAAAGGTCTGTCATTGCGTGAAGTGGTTTCGATCCCAAGCCAGGTGTGATTGCCCTGGATCCTCATTGAAATAAAATTATACAATAGTTTAGTCCCAAAGTGACCAAGTTCGTATCGATTAGGCATTAATTCCCATTTCTGTCACTCTCCGTTTGTAATATAAAGGAAAGTAAATTAATCAGAATCTCTGCTGAGAATTGCTCACAGTAAAAAAAAAAAAACCAAAAAACCCTCTTCCTCAGTTTAGATAGTGTATCTTGAATTCTGTAAGGTAGAAGAACAGGAAGTTATGAGAAGTGTTAATAACTGTTTTACAAATTTTTATTATATTGTTCGATAGATTGTGGATTTGAGACAAGAATTGGAAGCAAGAAGTTTGAGTGCTAAAGGTTTAAAGTCTCAGTTAATAGCTAGATTAACAAAAACATTAAAAGGTGAACAAGAAGCAGAAGAAGAAGAAATAAAACAAGAACAGGTAAAATATATGATGATTTGATTACAAGTCTCTCAGATTATTTATTTGAAATGATTGCCTGTCTAATCTCGTGGGTTTCCTCCAGGTCCGCCGGTTTCCTCCCACTGCTAAAGACCCCTACGTGCAAGTGAATTATTGAAAGAAAATTGAACCATATGATAGTCTCAAAATGACCTAGTTTGTGTCCAGTGGAGTTAAACCACTCTCTCTCTCTCTCTCTTTGAAATAAAATAAAACCTAAAAGAAATGTTTGAAGCATGTTCAAATCAGGTAAGAATTTAAGTTAAAACTTAAAGCCCTTCTAGTTAAAACAATCAAATATTTTATGTTTCTAGGAAAAGGAGAAAGAAAAACCAGTTGATCCAGAAATATTAGAAGCTATAGCTAAAGAAGAGGCAGTCAAGAAAGAGGTAGTATGTTATTACTAAAACTGATGAAGAGATAAATTTATTATAGTAATGTTGTAACAAATGAAGGGATGTTGGTTGGCAGAAGAGCAATCCCAGAATAAAACTGGTTAATTTTTTGTAGAAGACCCTTAGAGACCTATATTCTAGTTCTATCTTTGGCACTTTTTCGAAAGAATTATTAACTTTCAGTTTCTATGTAGACAACCATGTTTACATAACTGCCAAAGTCATGTGAAATTACAAGAGATGTAAACGTGACAATTATCACGTTAACTTGTAAATCAATATATCTGTTAATTTGTCTGTGATATCACTTCGGTGGAAGCAGACGTTAAATAAAGCTATTTTATACACACACACACATGGTTATAATACAATAATCAAAAACAAAAGTAGAAATCTCGCGAGACGTGTAAACATGACAATTATCACGTGGAGGGAAAAAGATTCTATTTTGATGGCATATTTTCTGATTTATGATAATATTTTGAATGGGGTTTATGTTTTAAAAAAAAAGAAATAAGTTGAAAAATGTCGACAAATATTTCGATTGGAATAGTGTACATGAAGGTAATTAATCGTTTTACATGATAGTGCGTGCAAGTGCCGTGGAGCGATGGTCACTGCCAAAAAATTTTCGGATTTTTTTTTTTTACCTCCATCTGTATAGAAGTCGAAACAAAGTATAAGGTGAATGCTGGACTTCTGTATCAACTTATACCCCGAAAAATATGGTAATTTTGGAGGTGAATTCGAACAAAAGAATGGGTCGACTACTGTCGACACGTTTTCATTCTATCGTATTGCGACAACATGTATTTTTGTAGGAATATTACTGACATAAATTTGAATACCGTACAGGAATTAAATATGAAAAATAACGAGGTGCCCCTATTTTTTTTTTATTACGTATGAATTTGAATATTTTGTTGACACATGATTTTTAATTGTGGTCTGAACCGCCTGCTTAAATAATGATAAGAGTTATGCCCCTTTATTTCGGTAAAAATGTCTGACAAGAAAAATTCTGAAGTCCCATCACTGGTCTACAATCATGCAGAAAATCACCTTTCAACTGCATTGTGTCCGACAAGAAAAAATTTGAAATCCTATCACTGATTTATGGATACCCTGCTTCTTTAAACACTAATGGTAATAAGGTTGAAGATTTACAATAAAACAAATGTTTATGTTTTAGCAAGAAGAAGAACAGAAGAAAAAAGATAAGAAAGAGAAAGCATTATTAGAAAAGAAATACATCATGCCTGATACACCATGTTTATTAGTACACCCTCATCCAACAGCTAAAGGTGGTAAATTTGATTGTTCTGTAATGTCTTTAAGTGTTCTATTAGATTATAGACCAGAAGATAACAAAGAACATATTTTTGAGGTTAGTATTGTACATAATAGAACCTGATATCTCATTGTTGTGACAAGAGCTAACACAGTTTCAGTGTATTCTGTGAGTAGTCGTAACTTTCTGCCCATAAAACAGCTGTGACGTCATTTTAGTCTTTCTGCTCATAGAAATATAGACTAGAATACCAGCAGAAGGACTAAAATGACTTGACAGCTAAAGTTGAAATTTACCTGTGGCAGGTTACATTGACATTCAGGATTGTGTTATACTTTTGGGAAGGATACAGTATGTTGACATAATTACTTACATTATTTAAAAAATTTATGAAGCTTCTGCGGTGAGCTTTTTAATGTTAAAGAAATAATTTAAAATGGCAGCCTTGTGGATAATTAATTTATGTGAATTGTGTTGATACAGGTTTCCCTCTTTGCTGAGATGTTTAATGAAATGTTGATGAGAGATTTTGGATTTCAAATCTTTTTGGGATTGATGAAAGCACCAGCTAAGAAGGAAGAAAAGGAGGAAAAGAAGGATAAAGAAGAGGGTAAGAAGGATGAGAAAAAGGATAAAGATGAATCAAAAGTGAAAGATGAGAAAAAAGATAAAGATGAAAAGAAGGATAAAGATGAAAAGAAAGATAAAGATGAGAAAGATGTTAAAAAGGATGATAAAGAAAAGGTAATTGGTAAATTTTAGTAACATTTCTGCAAATATAAAGACATTTGTCAATTTTCATTTTCATCTTGAAATGTTAGCTGTAGTTATTGGCTTTTCAGTTGAGATAATTCATTATTATTGTGTGATAAGGTTTTTTGGAGAATGGCATATGAAAATAATAAATGTATTGCTTATCAAATGTTTATAGGGAACTAAAAATAAACTAGTATGTAAATTAATGCTAACCAGTTGTCTATTTACAGTAATTATTCATAAAATATATTTATATTAGGATGGAGAAAAAATTAAAGAAGAAGAAAAATGTGAAGACATGGAAGAAGATGAGGTAGTTTAATTTTTATATTTCTATTGATTTCTCAAGTATTAAGTCACACCACTACCACCTTGCCAACTAATGTAAATTTATACTATGGACTTACTTTATGGGGAGAGAGAAATGGAGTTTAACGTCCACTCGACACAATCTAGATCATTTCAGGACTAACACATGGTTCAATTTTATTTCAATAATTCGCTTGCACATAGGGATCTTTAGCAGTGGGAGGAAACCGGAGGACCTGGAGAAAACCCATTAGGTTGGACAGGCTACCCAACTCCTTGTCGCGTACAATCGGGAAATCGAAACCATGGTAGTTACTCAATGACAGACCTTATGATACAGTGCGCACTTGCCAACCATTAGGCCATCCAACCCCACCCACTTTATCAAAGCGACTGAAAGGGTATTTCTGCTTTTAAAAAATCTGATGCTTCTAGGGAAAGAGATAACTATGGGTGATTTTCTCAGTGGAAAAATCTTTGAAAGTCTGTGGTATAGTTTTAGCAATCTGTTTCACAGAGATCTTTTAATATCTCTGTTACAGATGACTGTTTCGACACGTGACGTCACATCACACGGGGTCGATCATTGGCTCAATGGCGCGTGCATTGTTTACATAAGACGTTACTGATTCGGGCTAAATGGTGAATTTTACTTATTTTTATACCCATTTACACTAAATAGGAAATGATTTTTACCTACAAACAATTCAAACGTCTTTATTTATTTTTCTAATAAATGAAAGAAATGTTTTAGAATTTAATTTGACGGAATAAAAAAGTTAATATTTGGGACTCATTAAGTCGCATCGATGTTATCCTTATCAGTCCTTGTAGCGGCCTAGCGAAAATTCACTGCTGATCAGTGTGTAGTTTTAGTTGTATAATGAACAGCCTTGTGTCAGATTTTTTCACTTCTGAGAGAAATCTGATCATCTATATATAAACTATGGATATTTTTATTTCAATAGGGTGCTGATAAAGATGAAGATGGAAAGAAAGACAAGGGTTTGTTATTAAATACTTTCATATATCATCGCTAATTCATTGACGTTTTTGGCAATTTACCAAGAAATTGTCTTCTACTTATTGGATTCAGATCCTTAAATCAAGTCATAACTTTGTATATAGATCAAGTAGTGATTAGTGTTATAGGCAAGTTTTATAAATAAAATATTTATTCTAACTTTATGAAAAAGATTGAGGAATAGACAAAGTTCTTGTGAAACCCTGCTTCAGGAAATGAAATGAAATAGAGTTTAACGTCCTACTGTTTTGTCCCAAACTCGGCTAATGAAGACGGGATATGCCATACAGTGTGCTATGATGGAAATTTTGCCCGGACAGCGGCACTACGGCCTACTCTTATATCTAATATCCCATCCTTGTCAGGCCCTCTGTCCTGCATCACTGACAAGACAGAACCACGTCAGTGCTGCTTCAGGACTAGATGAGGTAACTTATTAGTATCAGCTTATAAAATGTTTTTATATTGGGACTAGATGAAATTAAACAAGTAATTATATCAGGACTAGTTGAGATTATTAAAAGAGTATTTATGTCTGATGAGACTGGTCGAGAATATTAAATGAAAGTATTAGGACTAAATGAAGTTTATGAATGAGTATTCATATTAAAATTAAATTAGTATCAATTAGTATCAATTAGTATTTATGTCAGAACTAGTTGAGGTTATTAAATGAGTATTTATACCATTACTAGATGAGGTTATTTGTCAGGACTAGTTGAGGTTTATTAAATGAGTATTTATCAGGACTAGCTGAGGTTTATTAAATGAGTATTTGTATCTGGACTAGTTGAGTTCAGATAGTACACAACAAGTTACAGTTACTACACAAGTACTTATATCAGGATTAGCTAAGTTATTAAATGGACTTTAATAATGTCCAGATGAATATATTAAGTAAGTAACGTTATTTATAATTTAGATCATGGCTAGATGGGGTGATTAAATCAGTATACCTGGACTTAGTTGAGGTTATTATATGGGTCTTTGTATCAGAACTAGTTGAGGTTATTAAATGAGTATTTATACCATGACTAGATGAAGTTATTAAAGGAGTATTTATGCCATGACTAGATGAAGTTATTAAAGGAGTATTTATGCCATAACTAGATGAAGTTATTAAAGGAGTATTTATGCCATGACTATATGAAGTTATTAAAGGAGTATTTATGCCATGACTAGATGAAGTTATTAAAGGAGTATTTATGCCATAACTAGATGAAGTTATTAAAGGAGTATTTATGCCATGACTAGATGAAGTTATTAAAGGAGTATTTATGCCATGACTAGATGAAGTTATTAAAGGAGTATTTATGCCATAACTAGATGAAGTTATTAAAGGAGTATTTATGCCATGACTAGATGAAGTTATTAAAGGAGTATTTATGCCATAACTAGATGAAGTTATTAAAGGAGTATTTATGCCATGACTAGATGAAGTTATTAAAGGAGTATTTATGCCATGACTAGATGAAGTTATTAAAGGAGTATTTATGCCATGACTAGATGAAGTTATTAAAGGAGTATTTATGCCATGACTAGATGAAGTTATTAAAGGAGTATTTATGCCATGACTAGATGAAGTTATTAAAGGAGTATTTATGCCATAACTAGATGAAGTTATTAAAGGAGTATTTATGCCATGACTAGATGAAGTTATTAAAGGAGTATTTATGCCATGACTAGATGAAGTTATTAAAGGAGTATTTATGCCATAACTAGATGAAGTTATTAAAGGAGTATTTGTACCATGCCTAGATGAAGTTATTAAATGAGTATTTATATAGGAGTATTTGTATCATGACGATATTGAAATTATTATATGAGAATTATTATTTTAGATAAGAAAGACAAGAAGAAAGAAAAGAAGAAATATATAACAACAGATCCTGGTTTATTGTTATCATTTGTTTATTATGATCAGAATCATACTGGTTATTTACTAGATAAAGATCTAGAAGAAATATTTACTACAATTGGTTTACAGTTATCTAGAGCTCAGGTAAATTCAGCTTTTTGACACAATACTGATGCTATATAATCAACAATTACGATTTAAAAATCTTTCTTTTAACCTGGGGCCTGTTTCACGAAATTTTAACTAAGGTAAAATCCAAATTTTAGTAATTTGATTGGATAATATTGGATTGATTTTAGTGTTTAGCCAATCAAAATTGAAGTATCTACTAAAATTTGGATTTTATCTTTAGTTAAAATTTCGTGAAACAGGGCCCTGATATACAAAGATTTTGAGATCTATACAATTTAATCAAGAATTTAAATATGACAATTGTTGATTGGTGGTACCTGTTAACTGGTTATCTAGGAAAATTTAAACACTCTAATAATTGCTAAAATGTAGTCAATGTCTAATATTTATGAATTATAAATTTCTGAGATATATTTATGTTATTGTAGATAAAGAAGATTGTACAGAGAGTTGTAACTAGAGATATGTTTAATTATCGTAAAATAACTGATTCTATAGAAGGAGAGAAGAAAGATTTAACAGTTATAGATGAAATAGAAGAAACCAAACTAGCTCAGGGTATGTGCCAATTTAACAAATGTGTACTAGTATTGTAAACAAAATAACCTTTGTAATATACAGTTAATTGCATTATATTACTCTTGTGAAATAGGTTTATTTAACATCCGCTTCCACCGAAGTGATATTGCCTTAATGAAACCATTAAGAATTGACTCTATTAATGTTTCTTTTTGGATGAATATAGAATTCAAATTAAAACCTGTGTGGTTTTTTTGGGGTGGGGGGGGGGGTTGGATGGCCGAATGGTTAGCACCTGCGCGCTGTATCATAAGGCCTGTCATTGAGTCAACTAGGGTGGTTTCGAATCCCCGGTTGTATGTGACAAGGAGTAGGGTCGTCTGTCCAACCTCGTGGGTTTTCTCTGGGTCCTCTGGTTTCCTCCCACTGCTAAAGACTCCTACGTGCAAGCGAATTATTGAAAAAAAATGACCTAGTTTGTGTCGAGTGGCCGTTTAACCCTATTTATCTCTCTCTCACCTGTGTGTTTTGTTTTGTAGGCAACATGGATTTATTAAAACTAAGTCACAAGTCATTGAAAAGTGGTGAAGAGATGAAAGAAACTACAGAAAGCCAAATGGAAGTCACTTCTAATATTATACAATATAAAGGTTCTATGATAAATATAGACAGTCTACTAGAAAAATTAGATAAAAGTGAAAAGGACAGGATGAGTATGGAGAAGAAAATGCAAGATGTAGAAAATGAAATAGGTAAGAAATGTCTGGTCAAGGTGCATTATATAGTAGGCTTTAATTAATATAGAATGCTTTGTTTTGGGGTAAACTTATTAAAATGAAATCAGTAAGATATGTCTGGTCAAGGTGCATTATATAGTAGGCTTTAATTAATATAGAATGCTTTGTTTTCGTGTAAGCTTATTAAAATGAAATCAGTAAGATATGTCTGGTCAAGACGCATTATATAGTAGGCTTTAATTAATATAGAATGCTTTGTTTTGGGGTAAACTTATTAAAATGAAATCAGTAAGATATGTCTGGTCAAGACGCATTATATAGTAGGCTTTAATTAATATAGAATGCTTTGTTTTGGGGTAAACTTATTAAAATGAAATAGGTAAGATATGTCTGGTCAAGACGCATTATATAGTAGGCTTTAATTAATATAGAATACTTTGTTTTGGGGTAAGCTTATGAAAATAATTTCAACCTTTAATGCAGTTGCTATAGATATAGACTTGCCTCCATCAAAAAACATAATCTGGTTTGTTATACCACAATAAAATATATCTTAAAGGAGTCAAGTCTGTAACTCAATATCTTCCAAAGTCTTCGACATTGAAAACACAAAATATTTGTCAATTTAAATCAACACTGATGTTGTGATCTTACCGAAAAGTGATGGGCTTCTGATATCCAATATTTAAGACAAAATAAACATTTTACCATTGGTATACAAATCATGTACCATAATTAGTTTCAGCGCCATTCGTAACAAGGGACAAAAAGAACGAGGCTAGACATATTGCACAAGTCATGTCAAACGGTGACGTCATATTCTTATCAGGAGAGCATGTGCAATAAATACTATCAGTGTAGACTGGAATAATCAGACGCTAGAGATTGCCATTCGATTGAGACCTCTAGAGTATTTGCCGAATGTAACTGATTAAAAATTACAGTAAAAACAGAAACGATTGAATGTAAATCAGTTATATACATTCATATTACATTATTATATTCGTTTCAACTACGTGCAACCCATTTGTGTCAATTTCTAGGTCCCAAATATTAGCGATTTAGCTCCTTTAAATAGTGTATTTTCACTCAGAATAATCTTCATCTTTTGTTAGCAACTAGCCAAATCAAGTCTAAAAATGTTTGCAACACTATTTTACTTCACACCTTTATGTTATATTAATAATTATTTTTCAGGTATGGTAAAAGGAAGTCTTAAAGAAACAGAACAAGACAAAACCAATTTATCATCAGAATTACAGAATGTCAGAGATGAAATGACTCAAATGAAGTCTTTACAAACCCGTGTTGAAACGCAGAACAAGAAATATCGTCAAGTCCTACTCAATAGTAAAGATGTCTTATCAAAAACTCTTTCAACTGTTAGTAATTGTTTATCGGAGGAAGACAAGTTACATTCGGAAATAAAGTATGAAAATGTTGTTAAAACAGAAGGTTTATCTAATTAATGTATGTGCCATTTATAAACTTTTTTTTAACTCATATTGATAAGAGTTGTATTAATGTTATTCCTGGGTTATATGGTATATTTTCAATCACCAATATTTTCATTACATCAAGTTGTATATAAAAATTGAATATTACTGCTGATGATTACCAACCGTATGTGTGAGTACCAAATATAGCATTGCAATTGGATTGCAGAGAATCAGGTTCTGTCACAGTTTCTGAAGTCAGAATAACAAATTTTATGTAAGCAGAATTACATGTATGACCATTATAAATGGTTATCAAGAATAGTAGTGTAATTTTAGAAACCTGTACTGGTTCTAGTTGTCTATTTTGTCACCTGGAAGGCATTAAAAGTACTAATATGTGTATACTCGATGCTTTTGTTCCTGTCTTTCAGAAAATGGAAATTTAAGTTCCATTCATGCATTTAAATACTATACCTTCATTTGTGTAATTTAGACTACACTACAGTAAGGTCTAACAATTGACACAACTTGAACCTACATCCAGCAGATGCTTTGCAATGGGCAAGAATATTAACCAATTATAAAGAATACAGTTAACTTTCAAAGAGAAAACAGTGTTTATAAGTAGTGTAATCAATCCAACATTAAACAAGGAACAAAATAAAAATAAAATTATAATTATAAAATTTGAACTCTAGCGAGGCATTAATTTTTTGCTTGATCGTAAATCAAAGTTTGACAAATCAAAAAGATCCTCATAAAGCTATTGATTAAACATTCTCATGTAATTCCTGTAAAATATTCCAATGAATTCTGAAAGTTAAATTTCTGTTGTAAATTATTCAGCATATGCATTTTATATTCTGTCTCAGTTTAAAATTGTGTTCATCATTTAGTATGTAAATAAGGTGAATTACCAAACTCCGAAAACCATTCATTTATTTGTGATAATTCAAATCTTAGTATTGTTGTTATAGCATGCAAAACGAAAGCAATGGACTTTAATACTTTTGTCATTTTGAAATATTTGTGCTTGATGACAGCATTTCACCTACTCTTCTTCAAATTCCAGTTAGGAAGTCTTGGGGAGTGTTTTTAAGAGTGCTACCAATGTGGTTGGATGGAGCCAAAGTGGCTCAGTGGGTAAGGCACTGGCTCACTTACCAAGAGAACCAGGTTCAATCCTTATGTTGGCCGATATAGTTTCTCTGGATTATCCAGCATGGTTTTCCCTTGTCAGTGTTGCAGGCAGTAGAGTCTGTGCATGTTGGAATTGAAATTAAATGAAAAAGTAGGAGGACACCGTGATGTCCAAGCAAAATTAGCCTCATAGCACACGACTTGGGTGTATGTCCGTCTTCATAGGACAATTAGTACAGAATAATAGGACATTAAATCCCATTTCATTTGTGTCTCGGTGGACCAAACATACATGTATTTGTCAACCTCTTCATATTTATGAAAAAAACCTACAACTTGTTAGAATTGTTTTTGCTGATAGCATTTATGTTATTTTAAATATGCAGCATTATGTAAATTTACTTCAAATTAAATCACGTCATCTCACCATATGAATAGACTACCTACCGAATAAACCATGTGTATATTAATCATCATTCATTTATCATTTTGTATAAACATCTATTTGTCCGTTTATTTCTGGGATTTGTTGGAATATATGCTGTTATGCCGTGTAAATGAATCTGTTTCTAGATTGATTTGAAAAGTAAAGGATCTATTAAATACCATGTTGTCAACCTTTGTTTCTTCATACCAATGCCCTTATTCATAGGGTAAATGAATGCCCATATTTATATCGTAAATGAAATATTTATTGTCAGTTAGAAACACGATTTGTCTGGATAGAGAAATGGGGTTTAACGTCCACTCGACACAAACTAGGTCATTTCGGGACTAACATATGGTTTAATTTTATTTCAATAATTTGATTGCGCGTAGGGGTCTTTAGCTGTGGGAGGAAACCGGAGGACCCGGAGAAAAACCATGAGGTTGGACAGGCGACCTCTACTCCTTGTCACGTACAACCGGGGATTCGAAACCACACCAGTTGACTAAATGATACAGCACGCACGTGCTAACCATTCGACCATCCAACACCCTCCCCCCCCCCCCCCCCCGATTTGTCTGGAAAACTATATCATTTAACTGTAATATATAGTGGTTCCACCTTTTTGTCCTGTTATCTCTCGCAAAGTTATCTTATATATGTCACTTGGGGTTAACAGGCATTAGTTGTTAGATAAGCATAATGTAAAGCCTACCAAATGATGACTTGTAGAATTATTGCTTCTGACAAGCTTGAATTGTGTGTTTTTGTTGGCGGGGGTAGGTGCTGATAGGGTTCAGTTTGAGAAAGCTATTACAAACATCGTTATTTTAAAAACCAAGACATAGTAACTTAAAATAATATAGGTTTTACGGGAACATTAACATAAAAAAAACTATCATGTCCATGGATATGAACTTCGTGGGTTTCCTCCCACTGCCACGCAGTTGATATCCATGGACATGATAGATTTTTATACGTCCACATGAAAATGTGGGCGTATAAAAATCTATCATGTCCATTGTCGTTGCCCCTGTCCGTCCGTCCGGACATCCACAATTGTTTGTGAACAGTCTACAGGTCACAATTTTTATCCGATTTCAACGAAACTTGAAATATAGGTTTATCACCCTATATTGGCATGTATCGGACTGTAACTTCATGGATTATGGCCCCTGATTGTACGAAAAATCACATTTTTCGTACAATGTGAACACTGTAGAGGTCACAATTTTTATCCGATTTGGTTTAAACTTGAAATGTAAGTTTATAACCCAAAGATCTCGGTTCCTTTCAATATTTGCGCATATCGGACTGTAACCTCCTGAATTATGGCCCTTGATTGTACGAAAAATCGTGTTTTTAGCTTGTGGACCCAATAGAGGTCATAATTTTTATCTGATTTAAAAAAGCGTATTACACCCTAAGGACGGCTGAGTTCGAATTTCTTGAATATCGGCTCAAAATTGACAGACAAAATGGCCGCCGTTCATTCTCAAATAGCATATCAAGTTTGTGGACCCTATAGAGGTCGCAATTTTTATCCGATTTTGTTGAAACTTGAAATGTAAGTTTATAACACAAAGATCTCAGTTCCTTTCGATATTCCCGCATATCGAATTGTAATTTCCAGAATTATGGCCCGTGATTGTAGGAAAAATCACTTTCTTGTTAGCTTGATCTCTATCCATCTCTCGAAAATGTGGGCGTATCCTGCCTGGCAGCGGCTGGTTTTCTGATTTTGTTGAAACTTGAAATGTAAGTTTATAACCCAAAGATCTCGGTTCCTGTCGATATTCGCGCATATCGGACCATAACTTCCTGAATTATGGCCCCTGATTGTACGAAAAATCACGTTTTTTGCTTGTGAACCCTATAGAGGTCATAATTTTTATCCGTTTTAAAAAACCGTATTATTATATTGTCGTTACACCCTAAGGACGACTGATTTCGAATTTCGTGAAAATCGGCCCCAAAATTACAGGCAAAATGGCCGCCCCTCGTACTCAAGTAGCGTAAAAATATGGTATATCAAGGTTGTGGACACTATAGAGGTCACAATTTTTATTCGATTTTGTTGAAACTTGAAATGTAAGTTTATAACCCAAAGATCTCGGTTCCTTTCGATATTTGCGCATATCGAATTGTAATTTCCTGAATTATGGCCCTTGATTGTAAGAAAATCACTTTCTTTTTAGCTTGTTCTCTATCCATCTCTCGAAAATGTGGACGTATCCTGCCTGGCAGCCGCTGGTTTTATGTTAATGTTCCCGTTAAATCCCTACATGCAAGCGTATTATTGAAATAAAGATGAACAACATGTTAGTCCCAAAATTACCTAATTTGTGTCTGGGGGACATTAAACCACATTTCTGTCTCGCCATGAAAGTATTCAAAAGTTGCATTAATCAATCGCGTTCAAAAGCGTGTAAACCTTGTCCTCAAATTTCAGCTCAAAATATTGAGTTGTTTGGACGTGAATGTCAAAATTCCTTATCCGGACACGTAACCCTTTTAAGATTTTAGGTCAATCTTTTCGTTGTGTGACGTGATAATCGACCCTTGTTCCTTTAGAGGAATGACCCATGTGCTGTACTTGATAACGAAAGGTAAATTTCACCTAAACATTAATTTTATAAAATAAAAGTCTGGTTTTATCCAGAAACTGCATAATACAGCTTGGGACACCGGTCCCCATTTCCAGATAAAGACCGACGGTTTAGTTGCCCAGCCCTAAGGTAGAGAATTTTAAGGGATTTTAACACAAAATGAAGCAATTTAATTCTCCAAAATATTATCGGGATTGGCCCTTTAATAAGCGAAATCACACTGATCAAGAGGTGAATTTTCGCTAGGCCGCTACAATCACTGATAAGGATGACATCGATGCGACTTAATGAGTCTCAAATATTAACTTTTTTCTTCCGTCAAATTAAATTCTAAAACATTTTTTTCATTTATTAGAAAAATAAATAGACGTTAGAATTATTTGTAGGTAAAAATCATTTCCTACTTAGTGTAAATGGGTATTAAAATAAGTAAAATTCACCATTTAGTCCGAATCAGTAACGTCTTATGTAAACAATGCACGCGCTATTGAGCCATGATTGCATGATTGACGCCGCGTGATGTGACGTCACGTGTCGAAACAGTCATCTGTTACAGACATATTAGAAGATCTCTGTGAAACAGATTGAAGCGAAACCAGGGAAAAGAATCTGTTAAAAATTATTTTCTAACAAATCTCATTCGGAACCAAACTTAAAGGACAATATTGGCGCCAGTCATTATCACATATGTGATAGAGCTGGTTAAATACATTCCAAATATAATTTTAACACAGAGATCATTGCTACGGGCGACGTGTAACAAGCACGTGAAGAAACGGGAAGTGATGACAAACACGAGTTGTCCTTCTATATAACAGAATGAAGTAACGAGCGGTAAGAGACAAAGATCAAATTTCATTTCAGCCCGTGAACAAAGCAACTTCAAAGTAGTCTAATATAGGCTAATTAAGATGGCTGGCTCGAATTCCAATCAAAAGATCAATCGTTTACAGTCCACGGAGACGGGACCGTTGGGAGGAAAATTTGAAAATTTAACCACCGCAAATGCGTTTTCTGCTATTTTAACCTGTGTAAGCAACTCCAAAAGTATCCAATGGTTTTGTAACCGAAATCCCATTCTGAATTCCAACCATCCAATCAGACTGTTGCAGCTGCATTCACAATAATAATAATCGATGCCTGAAAAATGTCGCACAAAGTAGAGTGGCTCCAGACAAAATGTTTTAATCCATAGTCAACTCAGTACAAATTCGTGCAGTTAGGGAAGCAAAACTAGAAATGCCCCAAAAAATTTCAGGTTTACAGACAGCAGCGTCGGTTTTCTTCGAGAGGCGAAGAAGCGGAGCTGACCTTGTATGGACCCCCCCCCCCCCTCCCCCAAGAAAATTTGGGAAGATTTCACGCCGCAAAAGCATTTTACTGCTATTCCAGCCCGTAAAATTAGTGTTTTATTAGATTTCGGGCACTTTATTTGGCCAAGTAGATGAAATAATTTTTTTTTTCACTTTACCCGTCTGCCCGAAAAGTCAGCTGAAATTCTGTTTAAAACGCTTTCATCTTCCTCTAGTCGTGGAGGTTGGATCATAAGGTCTGTCATTGAGTAAACTGGCGCAGAGGCGGATCCAGAGGGGGGTTGGGGGTCGACCCCCCCCCCCCCCCCCCTGCTCAGCTACATAAAAAAAATTGTAAATCAACACTTTTTATGAGAAAAGTTTCTCGGCCGTGTGCTTTATCCTTTTTCGCCAGTTGTGGGACAGGATGGGCACTCAAAGCACGAAATAATGATATTTGGCGTGATTTCGATTCCCCGGTGGTACATGTTTATAGTAAGGGCGCCTGTCAAACCTCGTGGGTTGTCTCCGTTTTCCTCCACTGCTAAAGACCACTACGTGCAAGCGAATTAATAAAATAAAATTGAACGAAATGTTAGTCTCTCTCTCTCAGAAGCAGCATAGCCTGGGTCTCTTCATCTAACTCCGACACTGCCGAATGAGTTTTCTGCTGAATGTAAATCCAGATGGACGCTGATTATTAAACTTCAAATGAACTTTCCATCGGTTCATGGGATTTCGTTTGTCAGTGGTGTAGGTGGGAGTGCGTTTAGTCGTTCACGTACGAAAATCCAAAGTACCGCGTACGCTTTGGCGGTCACTTAAAGGAACCCTTGACATGAAATTCAATTACTACCCGGGTAAAAATATCCCACATGGCACACTGTTTGCCGTATGCCCGTTTTTATTAGCCCTATGCCCGTTTTCATTAGCCCGGTTAGTTCAGAAAAGTAGGACATTAATCTTTATTCATTCATAGATCAGGTGTCTTAATACAAAAAAAATCAGTTATAACATGATTAACAATGAAATTATTTATTTTAACAGTTAAAAAAAAATGAAACAAAACAAATAATTACGGAGATTGACTCACCATGACTAGGTTGCAATATCTATAGATTTCTGATATGTATAGAATATGTAATAAATAAGTAAATTACAAAAATTGTTCTCTATATTAAATGGAAAAATTGTCAAATACTCTATTTGGAACATAGGTGAAAATAGATTGGCTACTGTTGTTTGACAGTAGACGATGTGAAAAATGAAAGTGAAACCAAAGGGGGGGGGGGGGCTGTTAATAATGCATGACCTTTATTATTTTAGGGGTTGCTTGACACCGTTTTGTATGATACCATTTATATTTCTTCCTCTCAGGTCATTGCTTCATGTACATGTACATGTATATCTAATTGTTGGGAGCCCGTAGCACTATTACAATTTATCCAAACATTAGCACCATACACAATTTTACAAATAGATCTTTACGAATGAACAATTCAGATTGAGTATCTTATACATACGCTCACAACATATATATTACTAATAAGTTTCGTTAAATAAATATATAAATAAATGTTGTCCATTCTAGTATAACAATATAATACACACTCACAATTTCACGAATGTCACAAAAATATTGAGGAAAATGATGGCAGCGTATCCTTTGGCTGCATTTCCGGCGACGCAACGACTGAACTACTGGGAAATGTCGCCTGTGGTGGATGTTGGTCTATCATTTGAGAAACTGGTGCCGATAAATCGTCAATGGAAACAGCAAATGAAAATGCGCTTTCAGAAGCAGATGCCGTCTCTGTTGACGATTCACTATCAGCAGAATAAGAAGAGACTGCTGTTGGCGACTCGGAACCTTCAGTGCAGCTTCCAATTGAATTGTACTCAATTTCAGCAAAGATGTCGTCAAATGCATCAGCACTAAAGCTGTCATCGTCAAGAATTGGTGAAAATCTTTCATTTCTGAATTCCCAATCTGGAAAAGATGATATGTTTGAGCCATTACATGTCAACTTGACTCCAGTTGCATTTTCAAAGACATGGCCCACAGTTTGGACGGTAGGGCATGATTGTGTGTTTGTAACTTGCAGAAAATGTTCTGGAGAATAATATTCGGACGGAAGGCTGTAATCCCAAGCAGACGTCTGTTGTGGGTTAACCATGCAACTAGAGTATTGATACTGTAACTGGTCATCTGTAGCAAATATGTCAGAACTCTGGGGTCTGTTTTCTCTAGGACTTCCGAAACTGGGAATATATTCGTTGAGGAATTGCTCACATGACTGTATGTCAAACTCTGCACCATTATCGTACCATAATTCTTGTTGGGAATTTATGCCTAAAAAAGCACTCCGTTTATCACCGAAGCACACCGGAGCAGCATTTAACATTGCCGTTGAATACATGTGCTGTATTGAATTCTGCTGAACAAGATACTGTCGGTTTTTTCTAAGAGATTTTTCGGTAACCTCAGATTTTTTCTTGAATCTTCTGCGACGTGTGTAGTTTTGTTCCTTTGTTGCTTTTTTACAAGACGTTGTTGAACTCCGCAAAGCCGACTGAACCGATGACGTCACTGTTTTCACAAAATTTACCAATGTTTCTGGGCTTTCTTCTTCCATTTCGAGTCCTGGAAAAAAAATAAAGGATTAAATTATATTTAGTTAGGCAGCATGAGACCTTTAGACCGTTCGAAATCCAGAAAATATTAAGTTTGCCTACACGTTTGGTCTACACACACGGGTGATATTTATATACTAAAAGTTCCAAAAGCTCCAGATCTAACATCATAAAATTTCTTTTAAATCGTTTAATCATAAAGGAAGGAATTGCGCTTGTCTCATCAGAACGGTATGTAACACTTTCCTTGCCCGCCTTACAGTTTGGAAACGGTCGTAAAAATTCCAAGAATATCTAGTCGTTCTGATAGGACGGAAAATCGAAGTCCCGTCTACACATCGGCGTTCACATAAAATACGCCTTGGCAGTTGGAATTCGAGATATGAGTAGGTCGCAGCGCCGCTGTCCGGGCACAATTTCCCTCATAGCACACTAGGGGGTCACGGTGGCTAAGTGGGTAAGACGCTGACTCGCTAGCCAGGAGGTCGGGTGTTCGATCCCTGCATTGCCCGAGAGAATTCATTCAGATTTTCCGGTGTGGTTCCCCCTTGTCAGTGGTGCAGGACGGAGGGCCTGACAAGGACAGCAGTCTAGTCGTTCGGATGGGACGTAAACCGAGGTCCCGTGTACACATTGGCGTGCACGTAAAAGATCCCTTGACAGTTGGAGTTCGATTTAAGAGTAGGCCGTAGTGCTGCTGTCTGGGCAAAATTCCCCTCATAGCACACTGTATGGTGTATGCCCATCTACTAGCCCAGTTCGGAGCAGAACAGTAGGTCGTTTTTCCCCATTTCATTTCATAGCACAGTATATATGACATATGACCATCTTTATTATTCCGGCTGGATGCCCAACTTTCATTAGACCAGCCTTATTTTAATAAACTTAAATTCTTTGACATTTAAACTGTGAAAAACAAGGCATAAGTCGTGCCATTCTAGTTCAAACTGAAAAACGGGTCACAATATCTACATCAAAAAAATATGTATTAATTCGATATACTATATATATATGTTTATTCAAAATTTTAGAAATCCAAATATTGATTTTACAACTTCAAAATAATTTTCATATTTTTAAACATATGATTTGTGTATCAGTTTTTGCCTACAAGTATCATTATGTGTAGGCCTATGACCATTATTACTTACAAGTATTATTATATGCAGGCCTTTGGCCATTTTTACAAAATAATGCTTCTGATGTTTATAAGTCTAAACTCCGATTTTGTTGTGTTTAAGCGTCTGAGTTGTCAGTTGACCTTAACCAGGGATCTGATTGTTTAAGACCAAATTAATCCTTTGATACGTGGTTATTGTACTCGCTACGTCTCGCTTCACCTGGCTTCTGTTTTAACTCATGCACGTGCACACCGAAATTTATTATTTACCAACATAAACTTTAAAGGTAACAATTTGTTTACCAAAATAAACACATGGTTTGAATATATTGGTTTTGAAAATTAATAGAAGTATCTTTCAATTATTTTGAATAAAATAACGTTATATAAACGTATACGCGTATTTGGCAATTGATCTCGAAATTTCTTCTGACGTAACGCAATAAAGGAATATAAAGCGTTAAGATCTTACATGTATAACGATTTAAAAAAAATATTCGAAATACACGTCATAGCTGTTTTAATTAAATATTTTAAATCTTAAATCATTAAAAGGGTCGTTAAAAATATATAAGTCTATTTTTTTTTAAATATGAGAGCTATGTGTTCATATAAATATGGCCACGACAATAAAAAAACCCATCATAGTGCAGACTTACCTGATAGAGATATCTTGGGGTAATGGTATTTCCAGATGACAAGACTAATATGATGTACGTTTGAACGATACCTTATTTTATATGAAGTTTGTTAATTGGAGGTAATTTTTGATACGTTTATAAAGAAAGTGATAATCACGTCAACGCTTGGACGCGTTAGGTTGGGTGTTTTGTTTTTCACACTTCTTCTTAAAACAAACGACTATTGAATTAGTAGAAGTGTCTTGTCGCGTGTTCTTTTTTCAAGCTTTAAGTACTTGACAGTTGATTCAATCGGGCCGATTAGCCACCGGAACAAGAACGGCATGGTCCGACAGGTGAGGTGGAACATCAAAAACTACCCCGTCACCCGCCCACCAATGTTTGTCCAATACAAGCAACAGTTTATGTGTTTTATTAGTTGATACTGAAAAGTTAAAAGAGAAATTCCCGAAGTGTTTCAGTCAATACAACTGGTTGGTCACTTTACCCCCATATTGTCGTCGCCCTTTCCGTCGGTCCGGTCCGTCTATCGTCAACAATTTTTTGTAAACCCCTTACAGACTACATATAGCGTCCGATCGTTTCAAAATTCACATATATTGTTTAGTGAGATGAAGAAGCCTTGTGATTGACAAAAGTTGTCATCCGATCTGCTTGAAATTAAAGAGCCGCGGTAGCTCATTCAGTAGGGTGCTGACCCAGTCTCACTAACCCGTAGGTCCCATGTTCGATCCCGGTGTTGGCCTAGAACGTTTCTGGGGATTTGTCAGCGTGGTTTCCTCTTGTCAGTGATGCAGCTAGGACGTTGGCCTGACAAGAAACAGTGGTTAGTCGTTCAGATGAGACGAAGAACACGTTGGGGTGCATCTAAAGAACACATGAACGGTATAGGCGGAAATGCCGCTGTCCGGGCATAATTTGCCCCATAGCATACTGCAGGCTCGTAGCCAGTGGGGGGAGAAGGGGGATGGGTGTGGGCAATGCCCCCATGAAAAAATGTTTTGCCCCCCCCCCCCGAATTAAAATTTGCCGACCATAGCTCTAAAATACCCACGATAGACTGTGCCGGGTGTGCCCCCCCCCCCCCCCTAAAAACTTTACTGCCCCTCCGCAGCCATTATGCCCATCTTAAGGACCTTAAACTTTATTTCATTTCCATGTCGTTATATTATTCAGATTTGTGAGACACAGTATCGAATTTCAACATTTTTCATTCATTAGAGTTGACATACGTAATAAACACAAAAACATAATATGGAACAAATATGGGCTTAAACCGCTAGTCTATATAAAGCAACGTTTCTTTGGGGGTTCTCTCAACGTTTTCAAGCAAATTAAAATAGTAATTGTGTTCCATATTATGTTTTTGTGTTTATTACCCTTAGAGTTGTGACCCTTGTTAGGTTTGTAGTCTTGTGTAGCTTTAGTAACAGAAGTTATCAACCGATCAGCTTAACATTTGCATGAATTGATTAGTGGAACAAAAAATCCTATTACATTTCAGAAAATCTATGAATTACTTCTAGAGTTATTAACCTTGAAATTTACACGCAGAGCTTTGATTAGTGAAACGATGGGGTCAAGTTTCGTTAATCAGTTCAGTTCTAGTGTTGGTGCACTTGCTCCTTTGTAGAATCTTGTGAAGCTCGAAAACAGTTATCATCCGATCACCTTGAAATTTACACGCATTGATCAGATTAGTGAAACGATGGGGTCAGTTTTCGTTAAGTAATTCTAGTGTTATTGCTCTTGTCCCCATTGTAGAATCTTGAGATAGTTCGAACGATAAACGTTATCATTCGATCGGCCAATTGATTAATTTGCATGATCAATTGGTGTTCTTTGTTTCGATTATTGTTATCATTAACAACTGCAACATTTTCGGATAATTTCTTATAGTTATTGCCTTTTATAAATTGTGTCATAGAATCTTGTCAACCCGTCAGTGGACTTATACGGCATAAAGGAGCCACGGTGGTTCATTGAGTAAGGCGTTGGCTCGCTAACCTGGAGGTTCCCTGTTCGATCCCAGTTCATCTGGATTTTCCGTCCTGGCCTGGCAGGGGACGTAAGAGATCTCTTGTCCGGGCAAAATTTCCCTGATAGCACACTGTGTGGCGTATGCTCGTCTCCATTAGCCCATTCGAAGAACAGTAGGAAGTTAAACCCCAGTTCATTTCATTTCATTTCCACTTATACAGCATGAAGCCCTTATTTGTTATTACCCACAGATTCACAATGCGACAATTTTTATAGATTCGAACCGAGAACACCCTTGTCCAACCCTTATAACCTTACAACCATCGCGGATTCTCGATTTAAGGGAATAGCTGACAAATGACAGGGCGAGATGACATTCTTGGGTTTTGGATTGGTGTGGTATACCAATATTTACCTATACTATTAACGTCACTTAATAGATAAATGGCGTTGTTATTAAAAAATATATTATAGACCTATATTGGTAATCAGAACATCACGATATTAGTACTCGCTTTTATATAATTTCTTTTCTTTGGTTATCGTGTTTCCGGAATGTGTTTTATTTGTTCAGATATTTTTGGTTAATTTGGCGTGATAAACTCGTAGAAATCTTTTTTAAATCCTATAATATAATACAGCTACAGGCCAATATTTGTCGCTCAAACTTTCACCAGATTCTACAAATGGGGCAAGAGTAATAACCCTAGAACTAAATGATGTCACAGGAGTGTTCATCAGATTCTACAAAGGGCAACAACTCAGGAAGTTATTCATAGAAATTGCTGGAATTGAATAGAATTGTTTGTTTCACTAATCATTCATTCAAATTTGAAGCTGATCGGATGATAGCTTCTGTCACTAAAAACGTGCACAAGACTAACAAGTGTCATAACTCTAAAAGTAATGAATGAAAAATGTTGAAATTCGATAGACATGTGTCATTCTGCACACAGAGATCCATCTACTTCATATTTCGAGAATAGATCTCTGCCCTAAATAGCCGCCATCACACTGATCAGCAGTGAATATTCGCTAGGCCGCGACAATCGCCGATAAGCATGACATCGATGCGACTTAATGAGCCACAAATATTAACTTTTTTCCTCCGAGAAATTAAATTCTAAAACATTTTTTTTACGTATTAGAAAAATAAATAAAGTCGTTTGACGTATTTGTAAGTAAAATTTATTTCCTATTTAGTGTAAATGGGTATTAAAATGAGTAAAAGACTCCATTCCGCCCGAACTAGTAACGTCTTATGTAAACAATGCACGCGCCATTGAGCCAATGATTGACGCCGTGTGTGAAAGGTAGTCATCTTTTACAGAGATATTAGAAAACTTTCGTAATCCTCTGTGAAACAGATTGAGCCGCCATATCTAAAAATTAGTATACGTTTTTGTAATTAGGTTCTACTCCGTTTCACATCTGTCATACACGCAAAGACTAAATAAACTTTTTCAATTGTATTAAATGGAAGCAGAATAAATCCTTAACAAAATTCTCGAAGTTTTCTTTGTGCTTTCGACTAAAATCATCGATTTAGGACTTAAAATGTCGGTCAACTAGCTTAGTCACTCGGCAAACCTCGGTAGATTCTGTTACTCTTCATGTAGGGTACTGAAATCTGCTGAGGTTTGCCGAGTGCTAGCTTAGTGTCTGTTCTCAAATGGAGCTAACTGTAGACGGGCAGCCTAAGTTTAGTATGGACTTGTGTCTCACAAATCTGAATAGGACATGTAAAAGAAATAAAGTTTAACGTCCTGAAAACGGCTATATGTCATACAGTGTACTATTGGGGAAATTATGCCCGGGCAGCGCCATTACCAAATACTCTTCATGGGTTCTTTCAGATGCACTACAACGTATTTTTCGTCTCATCCGAACGACTAATCTCTGTTTCTTGTCACGCCCTCCGTCCCGCATCACTGAAAAACCACGTTGGAAAATCTCGGGCTACCTTCTCGTGTAAACATTGGAATGCACGTAAAAGATCCCTTGGCAGTTGGAATTCGATATAAGAGTAGGCGATAGTGCCAGCTGCCCGGGCAAAATTTCCCTCATAGCACACTGTATGGCGTATGCCCGTCTTAATTAGCCCAGTATAGGGGCAGAACAGTAGGACCCCATTTCATTTCATTTACTCACTGAGCCACCTTGGCTCCAGCCTAGATGTAAGCGAAGATATGCGTGTTCAGTGTATGAGAGAGAGAGAGAGAGAGAGGGGGGGAGGGACAGAGATGGCGTTTAACGTCCACTCGACACTTGGTTCAATTTTATTCCAATAATTCGCTTGCGCATAGGGGTCTTTAGCAGTAGGAAGAAACCTGAGTACCCGGAGAAAACCCACGAGGTTGGACAGGCGACCCTGCTCCTTGTCACGTACAACCGTGGAATCGAAACCACACCAGTTGACTCAATGACAGACCTTATGCTACATCGCGCACGTGCTAACCATTCGGTCATCCGACCCCCTCAGTGTATAAGAGTCGAATATTGTAAAGACGGACGGTTTGTCTACGATATCACCTTAGGTGAAACTGGTGGAAGTGGACGTAAAACTCTAGAAACGAACGAACGAACGAACGAACAGACGGACGGGTCCATAGGCAACCGCAACGACAATAAATAATGATCAGTCCGTGTATCAGTGATATTTTTCATTGCTTGTACAAAAACCATATTTTTCAGTTGCAATGATGAAATGAATAACACCAGCGCATCCTGATTGGGCGTGCGAAAAACTTCCGGAGTAGCCTATATACTTGAAAATAGTAAGTAACCATTTCCTGTTGTTCAGATAGTAAGTTCGTTAAAGAGGCAATGCCACTTTCATGCTTCAAGAAATGAAATGAAATGGGATTTGACGTCCTACTGTTCTGCTCGTGCTTCAAGAAATTATATATACATTGTACAGGCCTTATCATACCCTTATATATATTTCCACCAAAATATCCACTAAAATATTCATTAAAAAAAGGTCTGTATATTATCCATTATGTATCCTATAAGTATGTATGTGTGTATGTATGTATGTATGTATGTATGTGTACATGTATCTAATTCAGAATAAAAATATTATTTTAAATGTGTTTATACTAGAAGAATGCACGGCTTCGCTCGGGGGTCATAACCCCGAAACCGGAAGTGGTAGACTAACGCCACCTGACCTATGTTACTCCCCGGTCCGAGCTACCCCTATACCCCAAATTTCAGACTCGGGGCAGGCCTAGTGTAACCGCCAACCCCGAGCAGAGAGACAAACAGACAGACAAACGACAGTCACAAATATTAGTATAGATACAATCTTTCTTTTTTGTTTCTTAAGCTTTTATAACATAGGTTCATATGTACAGTTTAAACGGTTATGTTCAAAGTCAATCTAATCAAAATATAGATCTATATTTCGTTTCGTTTTTTATACTTTCGATGGCCTACACTACATAAAGACAAGTAAAATCGAAATTTTGAACTATAAAAACGAAACGAAATTGGATCTGTGTTTTAATCAGATTGGTTCAAAGTAGAATCTAAATTTCTTTGCTGAGAATAAGACATCCAATATATACATGACTCCGATTGGAACAGAAGGTAGCCCGTTAAAGCCCATTTCATTCATTCAGAATAAAAGACATTTTCAAGATTCAATATTCCAACTAAAGTCTAATATAGTCTTGTTATTATGTTCAGCGAACGCGCGTTTGATTTATATAGATAGACTGCCAGGCAACGAAACATACGCCCATAGCAGCTAAGTTGTTTGGCTGCTCATAAGGCATTATCATTGCTAAAATTCAATAGGCTTCTTCGTTTTACTTATTTAAATAATGTACATAAATTTCATGCAGATCGGGCCATAACTCTGTTTATAAGATTCTACAAACTGGAACAAGGGCCATAACTCTATTAGTAATTAACGGAAAGTGTTGGATATTCAGCGGTCCACAACAATCTGATCCGGAGCCCCTCCCCCCCCCCCCCACCTTGAAAAGGCTTGAAAACGCGATAGGATCTATAGTTTTTAAAATTTGGTGTGAAGAATTGGGTTAATAAGAGGATGACTTCTATTGATATTAAGCGTTCTGTGACCTCCCATTCTGCAGTTTTACCGAAAACCTTGTAAATGCTAATTATAGAGACTACCGTTTTTAACTTATTCTTGTGCGTGAAGCATAAGGACTGTGAGAAGATAAACCCTTATCGATTTTCAAATTTGGTGTAAAGCATTGGGATCGGAAAGGGTGAACCCTTTTGATTTTTACCAATCTGGGACTTCCTTTCCTATTCCAGAGATATATTTTGTGTCTGAAAAAGCTAGCGAATTCGTTACTGATTAGATTTCTTAAAGGTTCCTAGATCCTCATCAAATTAATTGGTCGACATACAAGTTTACCTTTCGGATAAGCTGCTGTTGGGACATTGCTGTTGTGTGTAGGCGTATTTCCACGATTTGTGAGGCTATCTTTCTCAAAATTCGGTGCGCTAAACTATATATTCACCTATAACTTTCTCAAAATCTGGTGCGCTAAACTGTATTCAGCTATATCATCATGATCACATTCATTTTCAAGCAGATTGAATTTAGTTATTTCGGGTAAAGTTAAATTGAAGACTGCGGATTGATATATTAATGGTGTCTTCATAATCTAAGTGCTTAATCATGTTCTATTCGTATTACGTATATATTCATAATAGCTGTTCTATACACACAGGAGCTATAATATTTATACTAAACATACATGTACAAGGCAGTTTGCTCACAATCTTCATAATATGACGTAACATGACGTAACGGATGAAATTACTGACGCGCGTGAAATCGATACATAAATAAGATGTTCGTACAATTTCAACATATATAATAAAATAGACGACATAAACATGACATCAAAGCAGTGTGGTTTAATCGGTGACGAATGCAATCAGTGGCAGGAGGTGGGGGGGGGCTCCACGGCGATAGCCCCCCCCCCTCACGTGCATGTCAACGTGTACACGGGGACCTCGGTTTTAAGTGTCGGTTGGTATATCGGTCGACTAATAATAGAATTCTTCAACAAAACTAAACTTTGGGGTCTTTTGGTTTGAACTGAGTTGACTTACGGTTTCACAAAGGTAGCCCACAAACTGACCAAACCAACCCCTTAGACAGGTCTTAATTTTATTATTTTTATTGACCATTGGGTGAAGTCGCATCCTCAAACTTATAACTTTAATGATTGATATATCGACATAGCGATGGCCCCTAGCTATTTCAGCGTTAGAGAGAGAGAGAGATGTTTAACATCCACTCGACAATGTCATTTCGGGACTAACATATTATATGGTACAATTTTATTTTTAACGTTGAAAGGAAACCGGTGGACCCGGAGAAAACCCACGAGGATAGATAGGCGGCCCTTCTCACGTTCAATCAATTAAAGTTGGGATAAAAAAAAACAACAACTGTGACTTGCTCTTATTTCGTAACAAAACGATTAACAAAACGGCTCATGGACATATTGCCATGGCCGTATATAATTCCGCCCTGACAGAGGAAGACAATATTGTTTGCCAGAGAAGCAACTTATTGTTTGTTTTAAAGGGGCACAGTCACTCCCCAAAATGCAATTAATATTGAATATTATTATTTTCAAAAATAACTTCAGACCCTCGAAAATATCCAAGCAATAGCCTAACCAATTTTTTTCTAATAAATAGATACTCAAACCATAAAAAGAGGTATGGGATTATACGCAAAACGCGGCTCAGAAAAGCTATCATTTCTGGAAGAATAATTCTCTCAGCCTTGAACAACAGTTTTTAAAATGATGGCTGGTGATTCAGAATAAATACAAATAAGCCAAAAATGAAGATGACCCTACGCTAGGCCAAAATGTAGATAAGTTCATGCAGTGCTTTAGAGTTAGGCCAGACCAGTTATGTTCATGATGTAAAGTCAAAGTAATATCAGTCACACGCCGATTATAGGACTTGCCGACCAATCAAAACCGTCTATTAGCAGTCTATTCAGTGAACATGGGACCAACATGGCCGATACAACTACGGTAGTGGAGGGGAAAGTGAAATATAGGGACGGAAGGAAGGTGAATATTATACTAAATATGTTTTACTACGTCTGGATTTACCCCTGGATATGTATTTAGTTCTGGATTCTTTTTTCTTTCAGTGGAAACAACGATGGTGCGTGTTAAAAAAGCCATCTCCAGTCGCTGGTAAGTTGTTACAAAGTTTACAAGTTTTGTCAGTGTGTTGAGTTAGGAATGTTCTGCACGTCTTTGATGTTTGCTCTGACACGCTATATCTGTCTCTTCTCATTTTATAAATGGACATCATGCAATTATAAAATCCAGCTGTACCTTTTCTTTTTGCAACACATATCGCATGCTTAGAACTGAGGAAACCGAGAAGTTTTCAGTTGTTCACATCCAAACCGTAGTCTAGTCAAACAAAAACTATACCTTTTCACTGTGTCTTCTAAACGAGTCAAATGTTCTGACCTACATGTACTTTTGAGCTTTGACGGACGACTGACAATAGTTTGATTTTCAAGGATTAGTACACACAAGTTTGTTTGATGTTGATGGGAACAGGGACAGTGTTAATTCCTTCATAAACTCATAGGAGTTATTGAAACTGTAAAACACTGTAAATTATAACATTGTTTCAATAAGCTTAGTAATGTGTATATCTTACAATAAATGCCTATAAATATTTCATTAAATAGATGAACAATCTAGTACAGTTGTACCCTGCTATATAATACATATTATTGAATAGATAGATATTCCACCCATAATGTCACCATAGGTTATTGTGTGGGATATCCCATTATCCTCCATATTGTCTCTGAAATATCACTATCACTGGATCAGTTGCAGTTTCAAATTGTTGAAATATTTACATATATCAATATATGCATGTAGACTGTAAATGTCATATACACATATTCATATTACAGCATGTATCTGTATAATAATATTTAGGGCGAGAAGAATTTTGAGGCTATGTGGACCAGAATCTGTCTAGACATTTAAATGTGATGAAAATAAACTGAGTCACAATTTGCCTGGGTTTAGTTCACCTACATTGAATGAAACCACATTCTGAGAAATCCAAGAATTTCAGCTAATGTCATGGAGTGTTTAATTATTCTGTTATAAGCCTGATTATTCCATATGATCGTGATGTACGGGACGGCTAGAAAACTGGTTCATAGAATGTTTAATTATTCTGTTAAAAGCCTGATTATTCCATAGAATGTTTAATTATTCCGTTAAAAGCCTGATTGTTCCATATGGTCGTGATGTACGGGTCGGGAAGGCTAAAAAATTGGTTAATTTCATTTCAATGAAGTGTGATCAACCATGATAATTGGTCTTTGTTTATCAGAATTGAGTACCATTTAAAATTATCTTCAAATTGTTTTCTAGCAGTTTGTATGAAGAAAAGTGATTGTTAATGATAATAACCCACTCAGCAACGCATAAAGGTTAAAATTCTATGGATGACATACATAGCACTGAAAAATACAGCTCCATCTTATATGATAGATTTAGTTACTCCACACGCGTCTCATCGATGTCTTAGATCCTCCAATAAGAGTTAACTTAGTATTCAAAATTTTAATTTAGAAATAGGAAAACGTGCCTTCTCTTTTTCTGCCCCTTCATTGTGGAACGAAACACTAAAAAATATTAGGGATCTGCAATCCATAGAGTCAACAGAAACATTCAAAAAACAAATCAAGACCCTGCTTTTAAACGAAGCTTATTCACATTAATTTCAAAGCACAATAGAAACTATTAAAAAGTGTTTTTGTGCTATAAATATCAAGAATTATTATTATTATAATTGATTTCGGAAATTCTATCAATCGTGAGATACGAGTTTTCAGATAAGGGTATATTATCCAGACTCTGACAACATGTATATTACAAAATGTATTAAAATATACATACATATATGTACTGTACACATGTCATTTAATTAATGATTTTTCTACATTTCCTTGTTTATCTTTCAACTTGCTAAAGAATTATATATATGAGTGTAAGTATAAAAGACAATTTGTTTGATGACTAAGACAAGAAAGGTATTGAGGAGGATTGCCTTGTCCACAACCACATCATTACTCATCAGTACATTTAAGCTATATTTCCATTGATGTCTGAACTCTTGATTTCATTCACAAGATTGAACCACACACAGATTTTATGTAGCAATCTTTCTCAATGGACATTGTAGAATTTGAATAGAAATCTTTTATAAATAACGGCATTTTGAACACTAACTTCCTTCAGTAAAGCCAGTTTATATATTTAGTAAATATTTAAAAGAGAGTTTAAAAGAAAAACGTTCTTATATTTTAAATAAGGAGGAAAAATCAAATCTGGTCTTTTCATGAAATGTAACAGATTCTGTGCTGTGCATGTTTATAAAGGCATCTGGAAAATAGGATAAACAATCCTTGTAAATGGATGCTTTTATTTGATATGCAGATTTATATGATATATGATGACAGAATTTTACACACATATATCTGTAAATAAACATATATTTTGTTGGAACAAAAATAAATTGTGTAAGACCAATTAAAGATGTTCTTTCAGATGCATTTAGTAACTCGATAGAGCAATAAACTATAACATGTACTTGCTTGAAAACGTTGAGAGAATACTCTTCGAAACGTCGCCTAAATAAATCAGTAATTGTTCTACGATAAGTATGTGTTATAGTTTATTACCATTTAAAGATGTACTGGGAATAATCATTACTAGGAATCATATGCATATTTTTACCGTATCTTGAGGGGGAAAACCCTGTAATAATAAATTAGGAATCAAGTGTTTAGTTTATGATGAAAAGTTGAGATGTGTATAAAATGATCTGGTTCAAAAATGAAATTATCAATTTCATCAGATTTTATATGTTGATATGTCTTGTGCAATGACAGACTGTCGTCGTTGAATGTTTTTGTTGTATTGATAAAGCAGCCACTGTTGTAATGTAAGCCAAAACTTTAAACTAAAATTAGTAAACAAGCCCACATGTCAAAATTTGATTATACATGTAAATGTATATAGAATTTGCCCAATCAAACCAATAGATACCTTTTGGGGGGCTGACTGAAATCAAAGAGATTTAAGCTCCTTTTAATCAATTATGGTATTGCTAGAATCTAATCTGCTATTGTATGTGCTGGTAGTGCAAGAGATATATAGGTACATGTATGTAGTGTTTAAAAGAGAAGTCTTGATTTTCATATGAAATAAATTCATCCAAGTACATGTATGTGAATCAAATGCCAAAATGTTAAAAATTAGGTTTAAGGTTCATTATGTAAGCCCGTCTTCATTAGCCGGGTAGGAGCAGTACAGTAGGACGTTAAGTTAAACCCTGTTTCATTTCATAATGTCAGAATTAGATAAAGAGCTGACAGTTCTCTCTATAATAGTTTAAAAATAGATAATGAAAAATGAATATATTGAAAATTTCAGTCAAATTACTTTAGTCTGAGCCATGTTGTGAATGTTTGAAGTTTTAATAAGAATAGTGTAGTCTCTGTTTTCATTTTGATTAACCATTTTTAAATTAAATTATTAAATAGCAGTTGTGTTTCAGTCAATTAAAAATGTGTGAGCATCATTCCAATGGTCTAGAGAGTTAATTGCGGTCTTGTCTTGTTAATAAATGTCTAATTGATAATTAATATAACATTTGAAGCCAAAAGAAAGACTTGAAGTAGGTAGATTTAGCTCTTGAAGAATGCATCTTTAATTACCATGTCCAAAACTTTCAGCTCAAGATATTGAGCTGTTTGAAACTGATTGCCAAACTGTTTATTGGGGTAGAGTGCTTGCCTCAAATTTTTCATTGAGTGACCTGATAAACGTGACTATTCTATAATGTTTGTAAAGTTTGCCAGGATTTAATTGATATCCAGCAATATACTGCTAAATTATAGTACTTGCTGGTCAGGTTTAGCCAGCCACACTTTGATTGCTAATCAAGAAGCTTACCTCCAATTGCTCTGGACATCTGGGCGTTGAAATTCTTTTTAAAACATGTACAGATTGGGATAGAAATAAAGATTTCCTAGTGCACACATCCTTAACAGTTTTATTAAGTATATCTGAGATTCCTCCTTTAAAGTAACAATGGCCTAATGGCATTTGTCGTTAAAATACCAAATTTTTCACGGCTTAATCCACTCTAATATGTTATCAGATTGATTATTTAAAATTTAATTAAAGGGGAATTATGGGAGATTAGATTAAGAACTGGCAGTTCTCACAATAATAGTTAAAAACTAGATAATGTAAAGGGAATTAGCTGAAAATTTCAGTCAAATTGATCCACTCTGAACAGAGATTTTAGCTTTTGAATTTTAGACCTAGCCTCGATCACCATTACTAAAGTTGGTACGATAAAAAACAGTCTCGATAATTCATTTTTGGATTAAATCATCAATGAGCGTTGAGCAGCAAATCGGATTGAGTGTTGATTATGGTCTGGATAAGTTAATTAATGTCTAATTAATAATTTAGGTCTTACGAAAGGCCTGTAATAGGCAGATTTAGCTCTTGCATAATGTATGTTTAAGAAAACAATCAATATACCAAAGCTAGATAATCTCCCCGGTTGGATTTAATCAGATTTAAAACAGGCCTATCGTTAAATTCTCGTGCACAACAAAATGGCAGGGAGCTTATTACATAGCGAGCAGCATAGGTCGCTGAAATTTCAATCCACATATCTTTGTATATACTGAACGGAATTGAACCATTTTTGGACTGATATTCCTAATAAAGATTCTTATTTCACAATATTGTAGTTTGCAAGTGATTCCTATGGCTTAAAAGGCCTCATTGGGACTTTTAAGTATTACTTGAATAGCTTAAGTAATAATTGAATAGCTCAAGTTATAATTGAATAACTCAAGTAATAATTGAAAAGCTCTGTCCATGAAAAATAACAATTACTACATGTATGTAAATTTGTGCATGTCTTATGTAGAACAAAAAGAGGATAACTATCAACACACAATCAGGTAACAATTACATAAAGTTTAATATTAGTAACAGTAAGATAAGAAAATTCTAATTACGGGTCAGGGTTGGAAGGTTTCATATTGCCAGAGTTTGGAGATGGGGTAGGGGGGAGGGAGTAACGAGTTTATTTCAAGCTGTCAGTATACACATGTGTTAGGATA